TCCCTGTATATAGCCATGTTATTTTCTACTTCCTATATATAGCCATATTATTTTCAACTTCCTATATATAGCCATGTTATTTTTACTCGTTATTCATTGTGTCACTATTTCTATTTTAATTTTAATTTTAATCTTATTCTTATCTTTAACACTGCATTGTTGGAAAAGGACCCGTAAGCATTTCATTGTTAGTTTACACCTGTTGTCTACGTATAAAAATGTATTTAGATTTTAAAAAAAATTAAAAAAAATTGATTCAATAAACAGTGGATATGTTTGTGATGCATTGAATGTCTCTGGATAGATTTGAACAATCTAGACCAGTATTCATAATATGCTGATCTAGAATAAGATTATATGGACAGGGGGGACCTGGTCCTAGATCAGCACTTTTACTCTGAGACACTTTATGAATATGGGCACAGATTTCCATCAGGATTGCTTACTTTATCATCACAACATTGAATCAAAATTATTGAGTTGGTATTTGTTTGTCCCCCCCTTTGTCACATAATTAAATAGAAGATTTATATTGTATCTCATTACTCCTCTGGTCTCAGTAAACCGTTTCCCCATTAAGTAGCTCATTCGGATGGGTGAGGATAACATTTGGCAGTTATTTTGAATACAATGTTATTTTAACAGATACATTTTTTTTAAATAAACATTTTATGTGTAAAACTAGAAGCCACACAGGAAGGGAGGAGGGAGGAGGAAGATTAAGAAAGTGTGAGGACATCTAAGGACATAGAAGAATCCAGCTTTTCATAATGTCTGCCAGCAGAGAGCACTGTTGCACCATTTGGGGTATCGAGAGGAACACTTTGATGATGTACTTTGTGAAAAGAGAAAGGAATGGAAAAGTTCCACATTCCACATGTAAAGGATTAGATAGATGATGAAATACTTCAAAACTTCAGGACCTGCATTGTAATTGATGATTTTGCTGCCATTTAGAACACTGTCGCTCATGCTGCACCTATAGCCTGCCCTAAACCCCAACAACTTTACATTTACTGTATCTTCTGTGGAGGTTTTGCTGTTAATTTAAATGGCGATATCTTGGCCACATGGCCAGCATTGTCTCATTTCCATTCACACAATCAAGAGTTGACTGTGAATGGGACAGCCATCCACCCCAGTGTGTCTCACATTGTATTTAGTGATGTGAGGGATGGTCCCTTCTTTGTTGTTCTAGATTTGGGGGGTAGATCTTTCACCAACTACCGACTGTCACACCTGTAGGGACACTTATCCAAAGTACAGTCATGAACCTGAAGGGACCAACCTTCCCTGGTGGGGTGAAGAACCTTTCACACTACCAAACAAAAACAACTCTTTGTGCATGTAAATCTTGGTGGGACAAACAAACAAACAAAAATTGGGATGCATGCCAACAAAGCCACTACACAACACAACACTAAACAATACATTAATTGCACTATAACGGTGACAAATGGTGCCCACAAACTGTTAGGGCCTACATAAAGCTGTCCCAACAGCAGAATCCCAACAGCAGTCCCAACACCTTACCACTGCTACACCTGGCTACCAGCGGAGCCTTGTCTGGCAGCGAAACAGTTCATTCAGCCTCACTTACTGCCTTTAAAAAAAACATAGCTAATGTGGCTGACTTGCTTAAACAAATGTGGTTTCTACTGACAATTGAGATGTACAAACTATGGCATAAGGGGATGACAAGCAGATAAGAGGCAATCCGTAATTTCAATTAAGACATTAATGAGCGAGCTAGGACGGACGTAGTCAATATAACTATTTGTTCAGCATTTTGAAATGTACAGCGACAGAATTCAGAACATGGGCCGTTCTTACAGTGTTCTCCATGTACACCAAGTCAGAACTGTAGGATAAATAAAGGGGGCATATAAGCAGACAATGAAAGCTCTTACAATATTCGATGATTACATTTCTCTAAAACAGGTTATAGGCTACATTTGCACCACCAAGTCAGAACAGTAGGTGAAATTAAGAGGGGAAAATAGACCAAATTATTAGGGTGAGGCACATGGGCTACTAACAGCTTACTACACAACATACACTTAGTATTACTTTCTAAGCTACAGTATACATATCTCCCTGACATATTACATCATTTATGCAGCAGCGTACAATACATTTTTGGACTCACCTTGTTGTGCTGTGCTGACTTGAACAGGAAGGTGGCACGACAGTCCTTTGTGGGCAAATTCTGTCATCAAACTTTGTCATCAAAGTTTGGCATTCTCTGGATTTATGGTGCTTTCAAGACAACTGCGAACTCTGAAAAAAACAAGGTAGAATCATGATGACGTCAGTGATCTTCAGGTCGTAGCTCTAGAAAGAGGCCCGAGTTCCCGACTTTCAATTCCAAGTTGGATGACCGTTCAAATCGTATTTTCCCAGTCAGAGCTCGTTTTTTTCCCGAGTTCCCAGTTGTCTTAAACTCACTTAAGTCAGATTTCCCAGTTCCGAGTGAACAGTTGTTTTGAGCGCGGCAGAAATCATGCTGGATTGACAGCATGGCCAATGTTGAATGTTTATAATTTTAAGCTTGGAAAAGAGACCCTTAAACCAAGACTTTGGACCACCCACTGATCCATTTGCGATTTCCAACTTGTTGTGTAATGTTTATGTCCAATGGCTGATGAGCACCGATACGTTTTATCTATAATTTCTCTTCATGATTTCTCTTCATATGATAAGGATTAAAAATGATTTTCCAGTAGATTGTCGACTTGATTCATGATGATGACTGCTAGCTAAGATTTTGAAAGTATTATGTTGACATGATCAGTCCATTCAAAGCTACTGTAGATATAACGTGATTTGACGTCATTTTATCTGTGGCCAATGACCTTGAGCCTTCTTGGATGGGCACTTCCATTGTAACTCTATGGCAGCACACAAGGGGCTGGAATTTCCGAACTCTACCCTTAGATTTGGCGGTGACTAGTGTCCCCATGAGTGACAGAACACTGAGCCAATTGTGGCGCAACTAAAGAACATTACTAACCCCTACGGTCTGTATTTTCCGCTGGCTGCCCCACCACCACCACCACCACCACAGAAAGCACTGAGCTAGGCTGAAACAACTGCATTTTGGAGCTGCCTTCCTCAAGAAAGCAAAAAAGAGACCATGTTTGTATGCGGCTTTATTAACTCAATGATTATTTTATTTTTTTCATTGCTTGCAAACTGATATGTGACACGTATTAATGCAAAAATTAACATGCAAAACAGGCAACCCCACCTGCCCTGAATGACGGGTTGCCACTGATCTCTTCATCTTTCCAACTTCATTTTCCCTCTCAAAAAGGCAGAATAAAGAAGGTGATATAGAGGATCTCAGAGTAGGCAAGACAGAGATTTAAATATCTGCATTTTGTATAATGTCTTCTGTTTGCTAAATCCCCCTCACACACCTGCAAAAAAGTGCACGCACACACACACACACAGTCACAAGTGTAACGAGCGTTCATAATTCAAAGAAATGTTGTGCAAAAGAGTTTAGAAACAATTTGCCTCTCCCACTCCTAACTATAAATGGAAAATCAAGTTATGTGACAAAAGTGGTCTACATTCCATTGTATCTTCTGCTGACCCAAGTGTAGTCTGAGATTGGCCTCATCTTATTACATCTCTCATGTTTAATCTTTTGGGAAAGTAGATACAGGCCAATGCCAAAGTTCAAACAATTCTGTAGAGGGATGCAGGCCTGCATCAAAATGTTGCAAGGTCTGATAGAAAGAAAAAAAATCCTATGTAATGAATGAAAGATGTAAAGGAAAGAGTACTCAGAGAGTCCTTACTATTTTTTTTGTTTCAAGAATACTTTAGGAAGAAAAGCACAGTAGCTTGACTACAGTAGCAGAAACAAATAAAAAAGTATATGTGTCATACATGCAGAAAAAGTGCCATGCTTGCAGAAAAAGTGGACTGTGGGATACATGGACACAATTATAATTATTTGTCTCATTTCCACCTTAGGACAAATGTTTTAAAAAGTTGCCTAAATAAAACTAGTGTCTGCTTAATTGATAAATAGCAAACTCATATATTATTGAATAGCTGTTATAATTTCATCAATTCGTTGGATCCGGTCATTTTCAATAGAAGGTTACCGCCAAAAAGATGTGTTCATATTAAAATAAGACAAAATCACGCCCCCCCCCCAAACTCATTTAAATACTTCGCCCGCACTCTTCACCGAGTACGTGCTTCCATTTCTTTTGCGACGACGTGCCTCTCCAAGCACCAGCTCTTCTCGTTTGTCGGTAAAAAGGTACATTTTTATGGAAAGTTTGTATATTTCTGAATATACAATGTTGTTATGATATTCTAAATAATATTTCATGTGTAAATGACAGATGACTTGAGTTATTGTTAAATGAACTTGGTTGGAATGCGGCTTTAACGTTAGCTGTTATCTAACATTAGCTAGCTATTTTTCACACGCACCAATTTGCCAGTTTACTTAAGCTGTGAAAATGTGTACGGGTTATATTAACATCTATTAAACACAATGCGGGTGTTTCACCTTTTTTTTTTCTTATTGCAAATATATAATTTCTCTTATCTTGACCTACGCTAATTCTCAACGTCATTGTAAAGATGGCTGCATCTGTCTTCTTTAGCCAGGTAGTTTAGCACCAGGGGCGAAGCAGGCCAACAACGTGGTGCAAAATGGCGCTACGTCCTTGGCCTGCTTTTTTTCCAACATGCATTTAGCCATACTCATTTAGCCCCCTTAATCTGTTGTCCAGGTCGTAACACGTTATGTCAACTAACATTTAAATGGTTATTTGCCTGAATTCGGATAACAATGTACAGCAAACTAACTACAGCACCTTGGTTGGCCTAACGGTAGCAAGCTAATTCTGTGGTGCGCAATGTGGGTCAGACAATAGCTCGCGCACATGACGTGACCTACACTTCCAACTCCTAGCTACAGGAATCGGGTACACCATGTAAATAAGTAGGGGCTTTTATTTGACCCGGACTTTTTCCCCTGCAGACAAGGAATCATGTCCGATGAAGGAAAACTTTTCGTCGGTGGCCTGAGCTTCGACACCACAGAGGAATCTCTGGCAGAAGCTTTCGCCAAATATGGAAACATCGCAAAAGGTGCGTTCTAGCCAGGTCTTTTATTTGGTAAGTGATAGCTGACTAACGTTACTTCCAGAAATATTATTATCAGAAATGTTTAATTTCCGTGTTTTCTCGCGCAGTTGATGTCATCAGGGATAAAGAAACGGGAAGGTCTCGTGGATTCGGCTTCGTAAAGTACGATAATGCCGATGATGCAAAGGACGCATTGGAGGGAATGAACGGCAAGGTATATCGGTATCGCTACTTATATTTACCAATTATTGGAACTACTTTTTTTTTATAACCTTAATGACTTCACTGACTAGACAACTAAGAAAGCATATGAACCAAAGTTATTTCTGGTTATCATATCAAAGTTGGCCAGCTAATTTATTAATCCTGATAACTCATTATCCCATTATGAAAAGCCACATTTTTATTGACCCACACTGAGCAACTCTTGTCTCTTGCAGTCTGTCGATGGCAGGACCATTCGTGTGGATGAAGCGGGCAAGGGTGGCGGTCGCTCTGGAGGCGGTGGCGGAGGCGGTGGATTCAGAGGTTCCAGAGGCGGTGGCGGATATGGTGGTGGAGGTGGCTATGGAGGGGGGAGAGGAAGAGGTGGGAGAGTTAACTCGCATGGTATGGGCAGGCAATATGCAAGATGGTGTGCTCCCCATCATCCATTAGCATTTTGTCTTGCCCCTCCCTCTTTGCTGTAGTTATATTTCAGTGTGAGTTTGTTTTGAAGTGTTGTGCTTGTTTGTTCCCAGGTGGCGGAGGATATGGTGGCGGTGACAGGGGATATGGTGAGAGGAGCTATGGTGGTGGAGACCGCAGCTATGGAGGTGGAGACCGGAGTTACGGGGGTGGCGGTGGATACAGGAGCGGCGGTGGCGGAGGATACTCTTCTGGTGGCGGAGGATACAGAGACAATAGGTGAGGCGACCAATTGGATTTTATCGCATTCTCAAATTGGTGTTTGTAGACATTTCCCTCTTGCATCATTTACAATGGACTGTGTTAGTGAATGATTAACTGACACTAGAAATTCCATTTAGCTCAGGTTTTTTGAGGCCAACGTGTCATTTTTCTATAGAGAAATCAAATCATTCACGAGACATCAAGTCAATAGCTGTGGGACGCTGGGCTAAATGGAGTTGTAGTTTTCATTTTGAGCAAGTTTTCAACCTAGTTCAGCGCTGAAACTTGGTAATTAACTACAATGACCGTGTTTGTTGGGCTGTTTTTTTCTAACTCTGAGGAAGTGGTTTCTAAATGATTTCACATGTGCCAAAATAAGCCCAATGGGATATCATGCATTGTTGGGGCAAAGACATGATCATCTCGTCATTGTATACAGTTCACTGGACGGATAGGCCTACACTTTTATGCATGTTAGGTTGGATGCACACATAAGAGGGGGAGCAGAAATGGGACTATTACTTAAAAGAAGTCATCAAATAAACTACATATATATATATATATATATATACACCTGCTATCTTATTTCAGAGTAATCTATTGTCTAGTCAATGTGGACCTGACAGACAATGGAATATTTTCAATGTTTTGGCAATTGAATGCTTGGCTTTGGAATTTACATTTAAAGCGTTTATAATACAATTCAAACAGTGATCATTTAATGGCTGACCTGACCTCGAAGCACTAATGGACAGGGACCTTACCTATATTTCTTTTTTCCTCCAATGTTAGGGGCCAGGGAAGCTACGGGGACCGCTCTGGGGGTTCCTATAGAGACAGCTACGACAGCTATGGTATGTCTGAGTAATGTATTTGTTTCTTGCTTCATAGGCCTAGGCTGTGTTAGAACACTTCCTGATTCCAAGGTTCTGGACTTGAATCTTTTACTAGGTTGCTGCTGAATAGTATAGAATGAGATATAGTTTACTTCGGTGTACCTTCCCTCCTACTCTGAACTCATTTATACCAATCTACAGGAGAATACATTTCCTCTCTTACACCAGCACAGTTCATATAGGAAACCCCCCCCCCCCCCCCCCCCAAGTTGGTTGAACTATTTGGGGCTGTTTACTGCAGGGCTCTTAACCCTATTCCTGGCGAGCTACTTACTATCCTGGAAGTTTTCCCTCCAACCCTAATCTAGCACACCTGATTCTAATAATTAAGCTGGCTGACTCAGGTTAGTTACAACTGGTTGGAGTGACTCTACAGGAGGGTGGCTCTCAGGAACATTGTTTGGAGAACCCTGGTTTAGTGGGTAACTGGGGATGTTATCAAGCTCAAATGTTCGTGAAACTTGTTTCCTAAACTCAGTGTCTTTACCTGTGTGCCCACTTCTTGTCCTCAGCTGCACACGAGTAAAAAATCTGCCCCCGATTCAAGATCATCCCTTGGCTGGCTGTATTTAAAAAGCTCAAGAAATTTGTCCACGTGTTGTTGACCTGATTTTTGTAGTCCTATTCTGTGTTTAAGTAGCTCGGCGTCTTTAAATTTAGCCATGAGTTTTGGCCATTAATTTACCAACCATGTTTAAAAAGTTAATGATCTCTAAACAATGCATCTCAATTTGCTCTTATGGCATTTAGTTCTATTGATAAAGCATAATGTCTGACTTGTTGGTGCTGTAAAAACCAAAACGTTGCTTCACATGGCTGTTTGTATATAAACACCCACTGTTCTTTACATTCTACGCCCTGTCCCTATCAGCACTGACATCGCCATTTAAATCCTTGATATTAATATTGTGGACATCAATGAGGCTTGTTTACCTTTGTTTTAAACGAGAATATCCGACCTACCTCCTGCCAAGTTTTAAACTGAGTGAAAAAGAAAATTATTATTTTGACACAACCTCTATACAATTGAGGTTCTTAAAATAGCTGAGGGTCCTGTATGTTCAGTTTCCAAAAAGAGTGAATTCCCTTCAGACTGGTGAAAATGCACACCTGATGTGGCTGGCTGTTCATGAAGTTGCAAATTGCAGCATGCTACAGTCTGCCCACGGTATCTTGTTATTTTGCTCTGCTCAATGCCTGCATTTTTTAAATGTACTTGTTATAATCGATGGAACACAACGATGATCCAAATGTTACACCTCTTGCCCAATAATATTCCACCTGGGAACGATTTTGTACTTTATGTTCTTTGTATCATCAACATTGAAGATTATTTTGTCAATTTTGGCTTCATGGAGCCTATTAAAACGATTTGTTGAAAATACTTTCTTGTGCCTTGAACATACTTATGGGGGAATTGGCTGGTTTATTGTCAGTGATTCAGGTACCTTCATAGTGTTTCCCTTTTACGTGGGGCTTTACAGCTACTTTCTATGGTATAGAAACTTCCCAAAAGTGAGAACAAGAACTTTGAAATTTTACTGAAATTCATAGGAAGTGACATGGTTCCAGTATTTGTCTAGTCTTTGGGCCTATTTAAGTGATGCTTCTCTGATGGCTTATGTTCCCACTTTGTCTTTGAGGCAAGTGTGGTGTTTGCCTTTTTGAGTGGCTAACGGTGAGTGGGGTACTGGTAGTCTAAAGTACAAATATAGTTAATGCACCTTTCCACTTTTCCTCAAAGCAAAATTTCACTGAAGTATTGTTCTCATTTTCTGATGGATTGCTGCCGCAGGGCACATCAGCAGTGGTTGGTAAATGGTACTATAATCCTCTAGTTGTAGTTTCCAAATGGGCAGTTCAGTATAACTTGATACGTTTCAATAGTTTGGCAAACAGTGCTAAGAGACATGCATATGACATTGAGGGGTACATTTCAACCTCTTGGGTTGACTTGTGGCCTACTAATACTGGGGGAGTAGGAGGTGTTGGACCTGTTAATGCTTCATTGCTCAGCTACAGAAAATGCCTACAAGTCCTTGGAGAATGAAGTGTTGCGCCTACCAACAAGTGCTCGTCAGAAGTGAAAGCTGCTCTCTTGCCTAGTTCATTTGTGGAGAATCGATATAGGCCAGTTCACGTGAGGTAAACTCCTTTTGCTCTCCTGCTCACATCCTTCAAACTGAGTTCTCATTTTATTTCCAGAAATATTTTGTTAGCCATTGTTCCCCCCTCTGCTGCAAAGATTGCCACAGTCCAACATCCCCTGGCCACTTCTGAATTTCAGAACTCTACACTCTTAAATCCACAGAACAACTGTTCCCCCTCTTGAAATGTGCCTTAGCGAAATGACCTTTCACATGGCCTCAGTCCGATTACTCTTGCGTCATATCCGCCATGTATTGCAGTCCTTCAGAAATTCTCAATTATGATCACCTCAATTGTCCCTCCTTTCAGGCCTGACTTACAACCTGTTTTTTTTTTTTCTCCACCCCTCTTGTTTTTTTTATAGTGTGGTTCTGAGCATTGTGTACAAAAGTCTGGGTAGATGACAATGTTATGAAACTGTTGCTTGCCAAAGTATTGCTGTTATTTTTGTAAGCTTCTGTTCTAATCTCATGACTGTCTTCTTGTTAGGGTGAATTTACCCTCTGGAGACTAACCTGTCCTGACCTCTCCAGTGTGTCAGATGGTGACGAGCCGGAATTGCAGTTACTGCTGAACTGACCAGGTTTGTCTAGAGCCCCCTGTTGTTTACGAGCGGACGTTCACCGTTATTTTATATTTTAACTGAAAGATGAGACCCGTGGCACAGTTTTTTTCCAAAAGTCATCTATCTGGTTTTTGGCTATCGGATAAGATTAAATGCATAGAAATAGAACGGGGTCCCCATTCAAATCAATGATTTGTCTGTTCTATACATTTAATCCTATCCGGTAGGTGAAATCCAGATACATTTTTGACAAACTAGGCCCAGAGTTTACCCATGTTGCACAACGATTGAAGTAAAGTCATCGTTTTAGTCGAAAGTATGTTCTTTTTGGGCTTGAAGTTGGAAATGCAAAGGTTTATTTTCCAGTGACAATGCTGTGCTTTATCATTTCATATATGTTAGTACTTGTCAGTCTTTATTTTCAGGGCTGGGTTTTAATGTTACCACTCACCAGCATGGCATTGTTTATTAATCAAACACCTTAAGTTATTTGCGACTGATCCAAACAGCTTTTCATCATAGCCTACACTTGGCCGCCTGAGCCATGGAGCAAATTAAAATGGGTGCAAACTTGTTTTTGCCCCAAGAATGGTTTTGCTTCATTGTGATTCATTGCTTTGGTGCAGCTTAACCACAAGTGTCTTATTCTGTAATGAACAGGCAACTATTTTGTTGTGCTGTTATATTTTATTGGCGTTTCGGGTCTTTTGTGACGTGCATGAGCAAAGTCATTGTAGCTGATCATTTCACTTCCGCTGTGAGAACCATGAGCACAGGCTGGCTTGGCTTTGCTGTGCCGGAGCCTACCATATACAAGGTAGAAAAACGCATGTGTGAGCCATGGCACAAATTACAATAGGGTTTGAAAACAACTTGTTTTTGCACCTTTTACCAGCGGCAAGCTAGCAGTTGTGTCCTGACTCTGGTCATTAAAAATCCTTCACCTAGTTGAGGTTTCTCTGGTCCATGTGGCAATCACTTTATTTCCCACTCCCAATTCGTGAATATGTATACTGAACAAAAATATAAACATGCAACAATTTCAAAGATTTTACTGAGTTATTATAAGGAAATCAGTCAATTTGAAATTAATAGGCCCTAATCTATGGATTTCACATGCATCTGTTGGTCACAGATACCTTAAGGTAGGGGCGTGGATCAGAACCACTCAGTATCTTGTGTGACCACCATTTTGCTTCCATAAAGCGTGACTCATCTCCTTTGCATAGAGTTGATCAGGCTGATTCTGGCCTGTGGCATGTTGTCCCAATGTTCAATGGCTGTGCGAAGTTGCTGGATATTTGCGGGAACTGGAACACTGTCGTAGACGTTGATCCAGAGTATCCCAAACATGCTCAAATGGGTGCCATGTTTGAGTATGCAGGCGACGGCAGAACTGGGACATTTTCAGCTTCCAGGAATTGTGTACAAATCCTTGTGACATGGGGCTGTGCATTATCATACTGAAACGTGATGGTGGCGGATGAATGGCACGACAACGGGCCTCAGGATCCTGTCGCATAATTTCTGTGCGTTCAAATTGCCATCGATAAAATGCAATTATGTTCGTTGTCCATAGCTTATGCCTGCCCATAACCCTTCCGCCACCATGGGGCACAGTGTTCACAACATTGACATCAGCAAACCGCTCGCCCATACACGTGGTCTTTGGTTGTGGGGCTGTTTGGACATACTGCCAAATTCTCTAAAATGATGTTTGAGGTGGCTTATGGTAGAAATTAACAAAATTCTCTCGCAACAGCTGTGGTGGACAAAACTGCACATTCTAGTGGCCTTTTATTGTCCCCAGCACAAGCTGCATGCATCTGTGTAATGATCATGTTTAAGCCGTTTCTTGATTATGCCACACCTGTCAGGATTATCTTGGCAAAGGAGAAATGCTCACTAACAGGGATGTAAACAAATTTGAGCACAACATTGGAGAGGAGCTTTTTGTGCGTATGGAAAATATATGGGATCTTTTATTTTTGCTTATGGGACCGACAATGTTGCGTAAAACGCAATGGAACCTAAACAAGCATTTCCACTCTAGGGCAGGAATTGTCTATGGGTGACATTGCCCTCTGGTGGGCTCCTTTTCTTTTTAAAGGGGCATAATCTAAAATGAAGTCCCCAAATGGAAACTAGGTGAATTGCAACAACACTGTCTTCAAACAACGCTTCCCCCGCAACCTCGTTGGAGACTCGCTCTTTAGTCTTCTGCTTTTGGTTTTGTCCACTGCTTTTGGTTTTGATAACGAGACGGACTAGCTTTGGTTGATAAATAGGACTGCACATTTAGAAGGCAATTTTTCATTAGAATGCAAAAAATATTAACTTAATTTTAAGTGTATCCATTAAGCAGTCACTGTTCTAATGCTCTGACAATACATTTTATGCAATACATTGATTATAATTGGTTTCTTTCTTTTGTCTCAATTCCAGTGTATGGCGGTGTGTGAGTGTGCGCAGAAGTGGAGTCCATACATCAGCCCAGAAATCTGCATTGGCAGACAGCTGTCTCTAATGCAGTCACTGGGGCAGAAGAATTCTGTACCAAAAAATTCCTATGAATGATCATGAACAAGTAAGATCCTACAAGCTGCACCTCCATTTGGGAAACTGCTGGTAGGGGATGGGATTTCGCTATGGGATGCAATACTGACATGTTACAGAATAGACGCAATAAAAATGCGCTTCTGTTTTAATGAGTTTCAACATTTCGCATTTAGTTGTTGGTGTTCATGGCTCTTGAAACATGTTGGAGCATGTGTTTCAATGTAATCAGTTTGTATATGGTGATGTATTGTGAATTCAAGTATCTTCAATAAAGGTGCAAATCATTAACAGTGCCCAATCCCATATTGGCTATCCCAATTATTTCTCTTTTAGGATATAGATGGGGTCAAACCTCAATTTTGTGAGTCTTTCAATTAGACATTGAATTAATGTTCAACCGTTGACATGTACTCGTGTTAGTTTGTGAACCTCTTGTGCAATGCCCTTTTAGTGTTCACTTGATACATTTTCCACGTGTCATCACAAAACATGAACACTGATAAATGTAACAGCTCAAATTTATTTTGGCAAACTTAACACCATGTTACATCTTGTACAGTAACTCAATAAAATCTTTGAAATTGGTGTATATTAAACCAGAATACACTATATACTACAATCCCTTGAATGTGTAGTACTTACTATAGAATGTGGTAGTATACTAGAATAGACTACAGTATTTAATTTGCATATAGCCTGCCCCTTCCCCATATTGCAATTTGTGCCACCCAATAAGTGAAAAACCTACATACCAAGTATAGACCACATTGTTTTCCCTACAGGTTATAGAAAAGAGCAGAAGCTCAACTGTCTGTTCAGACCCATGTCCTACCTACTACACAGGAGGCTTTCTCCTTCAGGAAACCTATGGTAAAAGTAAAACCCAGTGCTTAATTTGTAAATTGGTAGGTGCCTGAAGAGAGAGAGAGTGGGGTGACCTGGGGATCTGTGAGGTACCAGAACGCATGAAAGAAATCACTTTTAAAATGAAGCATTGCATTATCGCTTTTGCGTACTGGTATAGAGCAGAGAGGCGCTTGCAGATGGGGAACATCTTTGGTGGCCTAGGGTCTGGATTTTTATCAATGCATTTCATACAATTCTACATTTTAGATGACTGGAGACTTTAGCAGAATCTTTGTTAATACCTCACCAATGATAGAAATGACAGGCTATACTTCGACTCTGAGATCAATGAAAACGACATTGTCTTGAATCAATCAATAGCTTAGGTCTGTGGAGACACGTACAATATGAGGAAATTATAGTCCTAAAAAAGCTTTCCAGTTTCACTGACTCACCCAATGACTCGCAGCACACTCACCTGTGAGGGCCGATGCGCTCGTGCCAAAAGCTTATCTCTCGTTTTACTTTGTAAAACAATTCTCTTCTCAATAGGTCTATTTGGAAGTTGATAACTTGGTAGCCTACAGACATTAGTCTTCTCCTTTCAGCAGGATCTGTGTTTTTGCAGAAGGCCTGTTTTGGCTGACAGTATATGACTTTGGCAAATGTATTTCCATTTATCAGGGGTGCTGCGGCACCTCCAGCGGCTGTTTCTATAAGGAAATAAATGATTAAGTGTAACGCTGGAGAGATGAGTTTCATGCTCATGTCTATCAGAGCAGGGAGAGAGATGAAAGAAAGTGAATCTCATTCTAGTTCTGTGAGATGGAGGCGCACTTCTCTCTCACACCACAGTGATGGCCACGCGTTGGTCTATATAGGCTACAATGTTGTGCAAACCATAAACCCGGGCCAGCCCAACACGAATCAATTCTTAGAATATCAGGCACTGTTTTCACATTACATTTTTTAGGGGGCAGCCAGAAGAATTACAGAGGAGCAATTTGAATTAACTCTGCTTTAATTATAATTTTTACATTGCGAACAGTGAAAATAATGTTTAATGTCAGGAGAGGTACTGGATCCTGGCAAATGGGTTCCGGAACGAAACAGTCCAAAACTGAGCGGTGCTGGATCCTGTCCCGGCAGGATCCGGCTCAAATTAAGCACTGGTCCCACCAGGTAATGTGTCCCACTGAAACTGACAGCACACTTCTTTGGTGCCATGAGGGAGATAAGCACTGTCGGGTTTATACAGTCGACATTGGCCTCTTCCTCCTCGTCCCACCCTGAAATCACACCGATAAGAGGTAATCAATTAGTTTATCCAACGATATATGTCTGAGTTTATCTTATACTGTACTGGCAGTAAAAGAACACATCACGGCATCATCAGACAAGTCCATGGTATCAGTCCAACCCTATCAAATAACACTAACCTTGGATAGCTTTTTAGGCCCCTGGTAATCCTGCAGGTATATATCATATCAAGCATTTTATTATTGATTAGGCTGTCTTGATGCTCTCAGCCAGGTTTGTGTATATGTTGTGGTCACCTGAGGGGATGTCCACGCTGGCGATGGGGATGCTTCAGTGTCTGAGGGAGCGCAAGATGTGCTGTAGGACTCTATCAGATGGCTCTGTCTCCGGCCCCAAGATGGCATCCACCCCCAGTTTATATGCATAGTTTATAAGTTGCACCTGTAGGACAAGACAAATACATGTCAGTCAGACCACTAACAAGTAGAAATGCATTCACACAAAACTGTTGTGTGAACATTCCTCATTTTAGTCTCTAGTTTCTGTTCCCAATATCATGGTATGGTATGTAATCGGCCAGACAATAAAAATGAACCTTGGTTAGCGTTAGTTGATTCATAGTAGTTCCCTTACCTCTGCGGGGAGAAATGAGAGGAAAGAGATGTCAGTTCTTTCACACTGTACTGTAAAGTCCCGGTGCATGGCCAGAATAGAGCGCTTAGGGTAGTACACCGTGGGTATATAGTCCTGACACAAATACAGAGATAAGTGGAGAAGAAGAGGGACTGGGTGTCAAGGAAGTACCTTTTAGTTAGTTCAGAAAAACACGTGCTCCACTGGCACGTTACTCACAAACATGCGTAGGTGGCAAGTGCAGGCCAGGCCAATAAAGCCATTCTGACTGGGACCACAGATCACCAAGACCGTAGGACGCCTCTTTAGGGAACTCAGGGGGAAGGCCTGTACACGAGAATGAAGTTGTATATTCATGTTATTCAATTCCCTAGTTCAAAACTACCCTAAATAGGTAAGAAGGGACAGCACAGACCTTGGTGATAGCGATGGCACAGGCATGGCCCCAGATTTCCATCAGCTGCTGCGGTCCAAAGTGATTCTCTCCCAGCAACTCTGCTGCCTCCTCATTACTGGGGGAGAGAGAGATCAGGAGGAACAGTTGGAGAGATAGAGATCACTTAAGTGTCCTTTAGGAGGTAAAACTCTAGAGGGGGGTGTTACAGTATATCACTGCTGTCTAATCAATGGCCACTGTGTGAGATCAGGAAGCAAGGAGCTGAACTTTCAGTGCATCCTGCTCTAATAGTAAGCTCTATTAACAGCATATACACAGTGTACAAAACATTAGGAACAACTTCCTAATATTGAGTTGCACCCCCTTCTGCCCTTAGAACAGCCTCAATTCCACAGGGATGCTGGGCCCATGTCGACTCCAATGCTTCCCACAGTTGTCAAGTTAGCTGGATGTCCTTTGGGTGGTGGACCATTCTTGATACACAAGGGAAACTGTTGAGTGTGAAAACCCCAGCAGCGTTGCAGTTCTTGAAACACTCAAACCGGTGCGCCTGGCACCTACTACCATACCCCGTTCAAAGGCACTTAAATATTTTTTCTTGCCTTTCACCCTCTGAATGGCACACATACACACTCCATGTCTCAAGGCTTTAAAATCCTTCTTTAACATGTCTCCTCCCCTTCATCTACACCAGGGATCATTAACTAGATACAGCCACGGGCTGATTTTTTTCTTGATTGGATGGTCAGGGGCCAGAACATAATTACAAATAATTTGTAGACTAAATTGACTGCAAGAAGCCCAAACAGATAATATTTGACTAAAACATAATTCCATATGATCACGTGTCTCTCTATTATGCATGGAAATACTTGGGAACAGATTTCCCAAATAAAACACTTGGAGCCGAATTCCTGGTGTAACAAATAAAAAGTATGTCCAACATTGAAAATTAAATTGAAAAACATTTGGGGAGCTCAGAAAACATGGGGGGCAAAATAAAACGACCCACAGCTGCCAGTTGGGAAACCCTGATCTACACTGATTGAAGTGGATTTAACAGGTGACATCAATAAGTGATCATAGCTCACACCTGGATAGTCTGTCATGGAAAGAGCAGGTGTCCTTATTGTTTTGTATACTCAGTGTATATCCATTAGGAATGAGTTATGCTGGAGGGTATCTAGCACTGCTTCTTTGCCCCAGATTGGAAGCCGGTGGTGGGTAGGGGAAACAAAGGGGAGTGTGACATGGAGGGCTGGACTGCTGCAACTGGTTCCTCTAAAGGTTTCTTCCTCCATAGGGAGTTTTTTCTTTGTCTGATGTTGCACTAAACTTGCTCTTTTAGAGGTTTAGAGGATTGGTTAGGAATTCTGTGAAAACAAATATTTTTAAACACTACTAAATTTGAATTAGATTGAAGGGCTGATTCAAAAGAGAACATCTAAAACCAGGTAAAGACCTCCCAACCCCTCTACTAATCCCTATGGGGCCACAGTAATCCTCAGATGTCACACAGCGGGATTATTCATAAAATACGATCAATCTGACACCTGTCTGTCAAATTTTTTACAAGAATATTCACATAAATACTTGTAACAGGAATGTGAGAATTTTTAGAGAATTACAGCAAATCATAATGTGGAAACAAGAGTAGCTACATGAGTGAGATGGTGTTCAGTCTCACCTGAGGTAGCAGAGAGGCTTTCTGGGCATTTCCTCCAGGTCAGAACAGCTGCAGTTCATCTTCAGAATGTGTGACAAATTGGTATTTTGTTTGTCTCGTCTCTCAAACTCAAAGTGATGCACACCTCCTGTCTTGAGTGTTGATGCCCTTTCAGGACTCAACCTGGGTGAATCTGATTGGTTCAAAGTAAACAGCTCAGTCCAACTAAGATAAAGTAAGGGGTAACATACCGCTGGAAAGCAAAGCAGCTGGGAGGGGTATGTGGGTGTGTGCCATATGCAGGTACCTAGTTACCAATTTTCAAGATCCCACTGATGAACCGGACATCAAAGCATTGAGCTCTCTCGCTCCATCTGCACACATAATGAAGCAGTGTTTCCAACAGAAGATAGGTGTGTCATCCAGAGACAGCAAGAGGCTGAAAAGAACTCAAGGAAAGGGCATCTGTCACGGGTTTTTTCTTTCAGTGTGAATGTTGAACATAGTATAGGTGTAGTGATCTTTGTTGAATGGGATAACCGAGAAAGACATTCCCACTGGAGCAGATGTAGGATCAGCCTTTTATTTAATTTAAATGTATTGTATTTTAAAACATACAATCTACCTGCAGTAAAGCCGCTCAACATTTACATTACATTCAGTCATCTAGCAGACACACCCATCCAGAGCGACCCACAGGAGCAACCAGGGTCAAGCGCCCTGCCCAAGGGCACGTGGACAGATCTCCAGCCAAGTCAAATCGGGACCCAAACCAGAGACCTATCGGCCACCAACCCAAGCCCCCAACCGCCAGGCCAACCATCCGAGACCCCTCCACAGCTGTCAACATCCTGGTCCTCAAATTAAACTGGTTTACTTTCCTATTTATGTTATTTTTGTACCTCCGCCAGTTGATCCTTTATATTGGGCAGACAGACCAGTTCCCTACCTCTTGCCCCAATCTTAACTATAAGGAAATAATAAATAACATGCACAACTGGCTTAAGATCAGAGATGTTGGCCTGTTTGGACTGGATTTTAGTTGCAAATAGAGAAGCAATGTGTAGTTGATAGACACGGTTCTCCACATGACAGAGGCATGTCTGTTCTACACAACACATTTCTATAATGCAGCTGGGCATTCTGTTACATAGAGTGCTCCTGAATAAGCTTGGAGATGGTCCATGCCTCCACTGACCACTGCACAGTCAGGCTTCCTGTTGTAACAAGTGCCAGCACAATGAAGAGCAGCTTAACACGGGGCAATTTCCACATTGCATGGACAACATCTTTGCCTATTCTATTGCATATTGTTATAAGGGAAGAATTGTTGTCATGTGCTTTGAAAATGTGCTTACATGTTGGGTAGATTACACACTTTCACTAACCTGAAAAAATTAAATAAAAAGCATCACCTCGATGACATAACCATGTAGGCCTGCCTATAGAATAGAATATATTCAAGATCCTGTTTATCCTTTAATATTCCTTCAGTAATTAAAATAAACAAAACCGACAGAGAATCAGTATGGGGTACAGAAAAGATAACTTTAATATAGAACATTTACAAGCTGTGTGGAGTTGTGGACTCCGGTCAACAGGGTACTGGCTGTGGCTGGGATGGTAGCGGAGGTGTACTGGAGTGACACGGTTGGACTGGGGGGGCGGCTACACGTACCACAGGAAGCCAAAGCGCTTGTGGAGAAGCTCTTCCCGGGGTCGAAGGTTAAACAGCTCCTCTGTGAGGGGGGCCACCCAGCGGTCTGTGTGGAAGACATTCTCGCCCACCTAGACGGAAACACAAGCACAGCTTAGTATTCATCATCACCGTAGAATAAGCAGCATTGCAGTTATTTGCTTTTCTTGCTTTCATTTTAGTGCAGATTCTAGAACATTTTGAACTAAAAACTACCATTTGCAGCTTCATGACAATTGACAAATAAAACAAACATCTGTCTGTCTAGACTGAAATGGAACCAAGCTTCTCTTTACCTTCCAGCCAGGGACATCTTTCATTACAACTGCTTCCTCCTCCAGATTCTCCCTCAGCATTCGTAGTTGCCTAGTGAGAAAAAAAAATCTGCTAAATTCAGGGCTCCTAAAACAGATCATTCATGGGCAGTAGCTAGGTTTCCATCCAATTGGCGACAGATTTATGTGAATATTCTAAATTATGCATAAAGAAAATATGCACGTTTCCCCACAGGTGGTGTGTTTCCACCAAATTGACTTAAAAAATCCTTGCGTGCCTACTCTGGTCTTTGCACGTTCGCTCTAGCCAATAGCTCGCAGATACAGTGCGGGTATGTGCAGGTAGGCTAGTCTACATGATGAGATTATTATGTATAAGAGTGAGAGTATTTATACTTTTCAAATGGCAGTCAAGCATCGACCATCATGTCAACAGAATAAAACCCTTGATATTTATTGGAAAGGAGCATCAAGCTCATCACCCGTGTACTTTCCCCACCATGTGAAGTTCCTCATAACTTATTTCATTGGTAGCCTAAACTGTTACGAGTCGTAACTCCAAGTTTACTTCGGTATGATGGTTATTATATCAATATTTGCACATAAAGGCGTTTCCACCACCATTTCTCACATAATTAATTTTACCAACATAAAAAGATCCAACCATGTCGAACGAAATTATCTGTCGGCATTTATAAAATTGTACCGAAATGTCCTGTTTCCATCACAATTGGCGAAATACATGTTTTATACGGTATGAATTTACTCGCATAAAAACTGGATGGAAACATGGTTCATGTTGGGTTTAGTTATTTGAACAGGTAATATATGACATATTCCTTGTTGCATTACTTTACAGTATTACTTTGTGTGGAATGTAACTTGTTATATTCATGAAAAAAATCTCACCGTTTGTCTAATGGAGGGAGCAAGGCGAGCCGCCAAAGATAGGCTACTTACTAACTCAGGTTTGATCACTAGTTTCTCCTTTCATCTGTGGCGCTGCTTTCCTGTGGTAGTCTACAAGTGCTGCGCTATCATATCGGCTGCTTCATTAGCCATATATACTGTAAGCAAAACATCTGTACAGATTTCCTCGCGAGCTGCCAGTTCTGGTTATAGACCTCACGCAGGCTAAATGGACCCATAGAGCTGTATAGAGTACGTCCTCTATGGGCTTTGCTATCACAGAAGCGATGAATGGCAAAGATCAGAGATGCGCCCTCTATACATTTTCATGGAGGCAACTGTCATTACATTTCTCCAAACAGCCTTTCTCCACTTGCTCGAAAACTAAATGAGGAAACATGTCAAGATCGGATCATGCAAACACTCGCCCGGTAGAGATATTATTCTTAAAGTAAAGCACGCGTTAGTTGACAAAGTAACTGTAATAATTTTACCCAATTAGGAAAACGAATGCTTTACTTTACTCCCTTACTCATAAAAGTAATCTGATTACATAATGCGTTAACTCCAACACTGTTCATGGGCAAAATTGGTAAATCACCTTTACCCCTGTTGAAGTAGCCTTTGATTATCACGTGTGCATGTGTCTCGCTCTCTCTCTCAACGTTGGTGCTTTTCTTACCTCCGGTCCTGCTCTGCTTGCAGCAAAGGCAGAAGAGCTATCCTTGCTTCCAGCTCCTCAATCTGCAACCGCCTACAACACACCAGCAGAACATATAAGGACATTGACCAACAAGAACCAATCACAATGATCTGAATTGGTACAATGAATCAGTGACATTAACTGGATTATGGCAATTCTTACCTCCTCTCCCTGTTCCATTTGAAGAGTCTCCAATAACCGAAACACATGACACCAACTCCAATGGCGAGCATGCTATACCCTGAAAATGAGAATGTATATTAATTGTCGGCCATTTATTTCAGCAAGATAAGAATCTCCACAACCAATTTGACCACTAATGCAACTCGCCTAATCAGGTTTCCATCCAAACTTTTTATGCGAGTAATATCACTTGAATACACATTAGCTTTAAAGCGGCAATATGTAACTTTTTGGGTGACCCGACCAAATTCACATAGAAAGTTGAGTTATACATCTGTTATTCGCACTGAAAGCAAGTCTAAGAAGCCATAGATCTATTCTATGTGTGCTATTTCTATGCTTTCCATGCATAGGATTCATTTTTTAAAATCTTTTACTTTCAGTTTTGTACACCAGCTTCAAACAGCTGAAAATCTAATATTGTTGGTTATGGAAAACATATTTCATATCGGTTTAGATTGTACAATGATTCTCTACACTATACTTGCTAGTGTTGTCACAAACTGAAATTAGGCAAACTGTCATGAGCAGTGCTTGTGCCCATAGAAATGGTGGTGGGGGGGGGGGGGGGGGGGGGGCAATGCTGGAAGGGGGGCCTGAGTGAAAAAGTTTGGGAACACCTGATGTAGGCTATCCTACCTGCACTTTATCTGCGAGTTGTTGGCTAGAGCGCATGTGCCAATATACCAGAGTGGGCACACACTATATAACGCAACATTTTTTGTAGAGAAAACCATCAGTAGAGTTGAAAATGCGATGGAAACCCATTTAACTTGTATTGTTTTATTCGGTCCATGGGAATTTAACCGCAAAATGTATTGTTATGTGCACTACGTAATCATGCAAAGCCTTTTATCCGCAACAAGTCAATTTGATGGAAACACATCTCTGGTGGGAAAATGCACATTGGTTTTTATACGGATTTTTGAATATTCGCATGAAAATCTGTCGCCAATTGGATGGAAACCTAGCTACGACTGTTTTGTTGTTAGATCTATTAAGTTGAACTTGGACTGATCTGCAAATTGTTTACATTACTGCACCATGCATGGCATACATTCTAATAATGAAGCCAACACAACCCTAATTTTCAAACAACTGACAAGGGGTAATGCACATGTACAAGATGTTTCACTGATTAGACCTCATCATAAAGCTAGGCAACTGATTAGTTAGCCAGCTAACGTTAGCTAGCTAAACTAGTTGGCGCTATGCGGTGAAATGTTAGCGCTAGCAAGCTAAACGAACCAACTAGTTAGCAACTACACTTTGCTACATCGGTTGCCATATGAATAAAGTACAATACTGGGATAATAAACATGGCAACGACTATTTAACATGTAGAAGAAATAGCTAATATCACTAGCTAGCTAAAATATTAAACTTGTTAGCCACTAGCATTAGCGTCCTTGTTTGACTGTAAAATGATCTACTCAAAACTTCACCCATTACAAATATAACTAGTATACTGACCAGAAAGTCCCCGTTTCGGGAGATTTCTCTTGTAATCGACAGGGCCATAACCTCCCGGAGGAGGCATGTCCTGCTTCACCTTGGACGCCGCCATCTTCCACTCCTTCCCTTCTCCAAAACAGACCGGAACGTGACGGTTTTGACTAGGTGGTATACGGCTGAGCTATAAGGTATACAGCTACGACCGGAAGTGACTTTTTCGTAGAAGGTTACGCTTCGAACACACCGACTGTACTTTTGCGTTTTGCTACACCAGAAGTACATTCATTTCCAATGGAACGCTGCGTTTGCCTTACAGCAATGTGTTGCAGAGGCAGTTGCTGTTGGTTCTGTGTGGTGCAAACCCCAAACAGCAAGCAATGCATATGTAGAAGCACGGTGGCTAGGAAAAACTCCCTAGAAAGGCAGAAACCTAGAGAGGAACCAGCCTCTGAGGGGTGGCCCCTTCTGGCTGTGCAAGGTGGAGATTATAACAGTACATGGCCATTAAGGCCAGATTTTTCTCCAAGATGTTCAAACGTTCATAGATGACCAGCAGGGTCAAATAACAATCACAGTGGTTGTAGAGGTTGCAACAGGTCAGTACATCAGGAGTAAATGTCACTTGGCTTTTCATAACCAGGCATTTAGAGGTTGAAATAGCAGGTGCGGTAGAGAGAGAGAGAGAGTTGAAAACAGCAAGTCTGGGACAAGGTAGCACCATTTCTTTCAAGCCTTCAACACATACAGTTTGATGCATATGTTCGATAACACCTCGATCACACCGACAGCATCATTGCATTTTGGTACACCAGAAGTACATTATTTTCCAATGGAAATGGTAGCAGAAGGTGAATGTTGATCTTTTGTTGCACACATATCAAGATGAATCTGTACCATTTTGCGCAATGACATTGTAGGTGTGATCGAGGTGTAAATCCAATGTATGCACCACACAGAACATACTGCCTCTGCAAGGCAATGCTGCAAGGCAAACGCAGCGTTCCATTGGAAATTAATCTACTTCTGGTGTACCAAAACGCAAGAACGCTGTCGGTGTAATCGAGGCGTTAGGATCATTTGTGCAGCAGGTTAGAATAATTGAGGTTGCAGGTTAGGAGAATTAGGTTATGTTAGGAAAAAGGTTAGGGTTAGGTAAAATGCTATCCTAACCTGCTACGAAGTCACTTTCGGTTATTGTTGTACTTCATCTAGCCACAACTGAGCGTGACATCATATTAGTCTACGGCGACAAGCCACAGGAGCTGAATGGGCTCTATCGCCCCCGGCCGAGCAAAAGTGTCATGGAAAATCAAGCCCTGAAAAATAATGCTATGACTGGCAGAATCAACAATTTAATGACACATTCCCACTAAATGAAAGGGTTCAAATTACTTGTATTTGTATTATTACTTCTTGGAGTTCATAAACATTAAACCAAACCAATTGAACCATCAGTTTCCATGAAGGGATGGGAGGGTTACGCTTGACAGTGAAGAGCCCAAGCTACCCTAAGAAACAGGGAGGTTACTGGCGGTCAGTGTTGTGTAGGGGTTCTGTGAGCCAACTTCAGTTCTTGCACTGGGTGTAATGTTTTTCATAGTTCTCAGCGATGGCATCTGAACTAGCACTGAAAATGATTACCTAAACAATTTTGACAGCAGTAGACAGAAACCCAAACACAGATGTTAATTCATTTATAAACCACATAGCAGGCCTATGGAACTTTTACAGAAGAGAATTACAGTATTATAAAGAGAACAAAACTGAGAAGAGAGTATGAGACTGTACTTGAGGAAGTAAAGGAGCACTGTAGTAAACCCAGTTACCTCACCACAGGCCTGTCTGGGATACAAGTTATTGGTCCTGATGCCAAGCATACAAAATCAATGAGTGATTTCAATATAGGACATGTTTATTCTCTCCTCTGTCTTTTGTACATCCTCAAATCTGTTAAACTTCACCAAAGAGTTGCTGTACCTAACCAAGCTTCATGACGTGGCAACCAGAAACCTAAACTTGAGATGTACCCGAGCAGGTGACAATACCTGCAATGTAAACTTTTTTAAATCACCAGATGAGAACATTTTGTAAAATGACTGGTGTCATTGATTGCTACCGTAGGTTTGACCATATTAAACCAAATACGATCAATATTCAATTACTTTATCAGACCAATGATGCTCGTGTATTGACATTTGATGAGTCTTAACCTTTTCAGCAAACATATGGAAACTTTGATCAATTATCAAAACTGAACAAATTCACTAAATCATCAGGAAAATTGAAAATCGGTGCAAAACAGAGAAAAGATCTGGGATATGACTCCTGTGAGTCTATAATTTTTTTATGTGTCATTTTTTTATTTTATTTTTATAATCTTGTGTCTTCCACTGAAACTTTGTTTGCATGTAATCAGACAGTCTTTATTATACCACTAGTTCTCTTTACAGACATGTTATTACACATATTAAGGGACAACTCGGAATTGAATAATGGAAAACCAAAGCAGAGGCTACAGACAAAAATATAATAAAGAGATCCTCTCTGTGTTCTGCTTATGTGAAACATATGAATGGAGAGAAGCACTGTCAAACTCTGTAAATAGCTGAATAACATACATGGTGGGGCAAAAAGCTTCACTTAAAAAAAATAAAAAATTGTGTATGAGGCTATTAATTGTTCAGTTGTTAAAACCATAACATCAGGACAGGAATTGTTCATTTATACATCAGTCCCAAAAAATAACCAATAACTTACTGTAAATACAAAAAAAAATCCAAATCAACTGCTACTGAGGTTATGTAGTGAAAACATCACTGCTCAGTTTTTCCTTTTAACTTAAAGGATCATTTTCCTTTTCTATAAGGAAATAGCATGTTATAGAAGGGTCTAGACACTTCTTTTGCAATTTCACTTGTTTTTGAGAAACTTTCCCCAACAGCGATTAAATTCCTCATCCTCATTGTGCCGTACGGGGGCTATGAAAAAACATGAACAAATGCTCCAAAAACACCAAAGTCCTTTTAGAAACTGAAAAGCTCTATAGTGATGCAGGTCTTTAGATGTTGTTGCTCGAGTCGCAACAAAATGGAATATAACGTTGAGGATAAAGTTCGGAATGACACAATTTCATGTGTACAACGTCTAAAGTCCTGCATCACTATACTGAGAGCATTTCTGTATTTGGATGTTTTTGGAGCATTTGTTCATGTTTTTTCAGAGCCCCCGTACTGCACAATGAACATGAGGAAGTGAATCGCTGGTTCGGGGTAAGTAAAAAAAATTAAAAAAGGGAAATAGCAAAAGTGTCTGGACCCTTCTATAGAACATGCCATTTACATCAAAAATAGAGATTTGGTTCTCATTTTAAGAGAATGTTTGTTGGAGATCATGTTTTTTTTCTTTTATCTTTTTTTGGGGTACTCTTGAATATAAGGCAAACAGTTCAAGCTAGTCAGTCATTTCATCTTGAACGCACCCCAACAGTTTGTCTGCATCCCATTGCTGAGTCTATGATGACAGAATCGGCTCATTGTTCCGTCCAATAGGTAAAGAGCCATACATCGTTTTTATGATGGGATATCAACGCACAGTTGGCAGAACGCCAACATGAGTTATTGAGAGAAAAGCAACATTCTCAAACCATCATGAACTCGCAGACATCATGGCTGACGAACATATTGAAGGAAGCCCTTTATGCTTTTTTTTTCCCTTTTTTTTTTCTCTCGAGTTCGGAGTAAATCGCTGTTTATGCACACTGATCAAACATCAGTGAACTTCATAAGAAACAATAGAGTTGAAAAACAACATATGAGAAACAAACACTATAAAAAAAAAAAAGGAGAATGTTTCTCCTAACAAGTTTGACGACTGCGTTTTCATAACTGTCCTCAGGGTGGGGCTGTAGACTGCATTGTTGGCATTGACAACAGTAGCTATTGGTAAAAGGTTATTGATAATGGTAATGAGTATGAGACTATTTCCATGTGTTAGCCGTCTGGGAGATGGAGCGCGAGGGGATCATGTCCAGGAGGTACTCTCTCTGGCGGGCGTCCACTGTGGACGAGGTCTTATGGACTGGCAGGCTGGGGTTCACATAGGCCATGGTCACACCTGCAGAGAAAGAGTGGAGAGGGGTCAGTCTCTGAATGGGAGGGTCCACTGAACAGAATAACACACACACACACACACACAAAACACGTCAATAACATTGATATCATAGCAGAAATAAGGAAACAGAGCATTGTGGACACAGAGAGCAGTCAGATGCCTAGTCCAAAACCAATCCCTAGCCTCTTACGCAGGTGTAAGCACTATTGTGATGCCTCCATCTAACCCTCAGATGGGTGTAAAGGAGCTTCAGCCATATTGCTTAAATACTTGTAGTTATTCATTCAGACCTGCAAACACCACAGTGGAGGTGACTAGTAAAACGGGCTAGGGGATGTTTTTGGACATGACAAAAGTCCAGGCTGTAGAGGTAGAAGTTGGGGGGCCAGTGTGGTATGATGGTGGGTTGGGGACCCGGACGGGATTAGTCTACCTGTGTTGAGGTTGTTCTGCTTCCTCCATGCAGTGGCTTGGCCGCTACCACTGCTGCTGTTCCCACTGGAGCTGCCCTTTGAACCCTGGGCAGCGGGGCGCACATGGGCATGCTTACCTGGCCGGCTGACCAAGGCTGCAGCGGCCACTGCGCTCTGCAGCTGAGAGGAGGAGGAGAAAGAGTGGGACACGCCCCTCACCCCCACAGACGGGACACCGCCACGGGAGAGCTGGCCCTGAGGTGGAGGGGAGGGGGGAGAAGGAAAAATAATATTGAGTGACAAGTGACAACATCTGTGTGACGAGAACAGACCACACAAGCCAAGGGAACCATTGGGCTCTTGGATAAAATGTTTATTTCGGGGTCAATTTCAGCAGACATTTTGCAGATAGGGAGGTTCAAGTCCCTAGTGAGACACCATGGTAGAATGGAGGGATGTATTGCAAGAGGAAATGGTAGAATTACTATTTACTGGGAAAGATGGGGTGATCTGTGGCTGTCTGAAGGTTGGAATGAATGAGTGTTGGAATAAATACATACACACATGCATAGTATACATGTTTGAGATCCTCCAATCAGGGGTGAGGGTGGGGATGTGTTTAGTTCTGTATGTTTAGTGTTTTGGTTTCACGCTGTGAGCGGAGTGTGTGCTGGTCCTGGTGGTTTTGGGTGCACTTGCTTCTATGCCCGCCCGCCCGTCGGCGGGTCTTGGTCCTTCCCGCCCTTGGAAAATCCCTTTCAGCCGGGGGCTTCGCCCTGCCAGCATCTCGGGGCGGGTGAGGGCGAGCGTACCCACTGATCAGAGCACCAACTGATGGGAGCAGCCATTTGTATTAAGCAGCCTTTTGTATTGATTTTGTATTGTAGTTGTTAAAAAATTAAAAGGGAACCATATGTACGAGAATATTATAACCGTCTGTATCTAATTGAATGTGATAGGACCTGTAATTGAGTGTGACAGTGCCTGGAGTGGCACAGGTGATGATGTGAGTTTCAGGGAACTGCTGAGAAGTGTGTCACCCCTACCTGTTTGATGTTGGTGGAGTGGTGGCGTGCGATGCTCTGTCCTCTGTTGTGCTGCTGGTGCAGAGAGGAGGCCCTAGCCTGGGCCTGGGCCTGAGCCTGTTTCAGCTGCTGGGACACTAGATGCTCCGCCTTCACCGACGGAGAGGAGGAGGAGGAAGAGGAGGAGGGGGTGTGAGAGACGGGGGACGCAGCCTGCTGGAAGATCTGCTGCTCTATCTCCTGTTCCTGCTGCAGGGCCTTGACAAATGCAGCCTTCAGCCTATTGGTGTGCTCAGCCTTCAAGGCCTTCTTCTGATTGGAGGACATGCAGTCTGCACAGAGGATGGTCCCGCCCTTGGCTTTGTCTTGCCTCCAACGGCAGGTAAAATCAGTGCTGCACTGGGTGCAGGTGAAGGGCTCTTTGATGGCAGGCTTGACCGGGGGCATCCCTGTTTTAGCTGGGGTGGATAGAAAGGATAGCGGGGGGGGGTTAGACAGCGGACAGAAGAACACTGGTTTCAATATAAAGCCTACTGATCAAATGCTGCTCGAGGTAAGAAAAAATCATCAAGGGGGAGGAAACCCATCTGAGCGGTATTGTAATGTTAGTGTTTGAATCTCTGCTGGAGTAGTGATATTATTGTGTAAATGAAGCGTCTGTAATATGATGGAATACTGTATGTAGTGTTTATAACAGTGTAATGTGTTTGCACCTCTGCCACCTCTGATGGTATAGTGTTATATAGTGTTTACACAAGCATAATATGTATAGTACCTCTCATCATGGAGTCCAGCAGGTTCTGCACCACATCCTCCAGGCCCACCAGGTAGATGAACTCGTTGTTGGCTGCCGAGGGCAGGAAGTTGAGCTCTGGGGTGGGAAGTTTGGGAGGAGGGATCTCCAGAAGGGTCTTCTCCAGCTGTTTACGCAGGGCTTGCTTAGCCGCGGCCTGACGGGCGGCAGGAGAGTCGTTCACGTTGACCACAGACACACTGCTGTTTCCAGACTGGGAGGTAATAGAAGGAACCTTCATGTTGGTTGGGGAGGCCTGGGGGAGAGAGAGGAATGAGAAGGGGTTGAGAGGGAGAAAGAAGGGTGTAAGAAATAGAGGAGACAAGTGGGGAGGTGTCCAGTTGAGGTTTGATGTCACGCAAATACAGCATAATAATAATAATATAATAATATGCCATTTAGCAGACGCTTTTATCCAAAGCGACTTACAGTCATGCGTGCATACATTTTTTTTGTGTATGGGTGGTCCCGGGGATCGAACCCACTACCTTGGCGTTACAAGCGCCGTGCTCTACCAGTTGAGCTACAGAGGACCACAAGCATGACAGATCAGATTAATTAAAACTGTTGCAAATTCAGGGGGAAAGGGTAGCTGAGTTTGAGTGGTTCAATATATCTGAAACATGAATGCAACTGGGTTGATTAATCAAATCTGCAAGTCTCAAATGCACCACTCTATGATCCTGCACAAGCCAGAGATTCTGCACAAGCTAGCTGGCTACAGTTTGTGTGCACACTACAGGGAAGGCCAGAAAAGGTGCAACAGTATTGAGTGGCTAGCTAGATAATTAGAAATTGCTAAAAGTATACATGCAAAAAGTTACTTCGTGCAATATGTTGATATCATAGACAGTAGGTTGAGACGTGATAAATATTGTTTTGACTTGTGTAGTATCGGGTCAATGCTGGCAATTATTGCTGATAAACAAAGGAGTCCGCTCATACTGAACCTTTGATCATAAGTTTTATTCATATCACAAGAATTCAGCATGAGGTTACAGGTGTCAAGATCACCCGGAGAACGGCGTCCCAGATTGCAATGGCCGCTCTAACCTCTTCTTCGCTTTTACCCAGTATATATAATCTTCCCAAGATATGGGTGGCTCCCTCTACTGTCCAATCCCCTGGCTACAACACACACTTCCTGTCTGTTGTATGTGGCGTTACACTAAAACATTCCCTCTTGACACTAAAATAAACATCCTCAAAGGTTCCACTTAAAACCATTAAGAAAGTCATAATCTTAATACACTACACTTGCTACATGACATGGACAAGTACTGTATCTTGCTAGCAAGCTCGCGCTAGCAATGCTAGCTAGCTAGCAATGAAAAAGTTCAGACAACATCATGCTATGAGTTTATTAAATGCATTGCGTGTGTGTTATAATTTATAATTATATAAATTATCATATTTTATGTAATTTACCGTAACCTTTTGACCATACTTTTCGGTGAAAAAAAATGGAGATCAGTAGTTGTGCCATTTTCGAGATTAGGCAAGTGCGACCCACATCTAGTGGGCATCAGCTGATCGCAACCAGAATGTTGCAAAAACTTCACGCATTTAATCTTTCATAAACAAGATCTGTTTTCACATTCAATGCACTTTTCGTCAAATGATTACTACTACTATTAGAGCTTCCTCTCCCAACTTCACAAAATGATTGCTAGTAATTGCTTAAATTACGTATCTAACGTTAAAGGTAAAATCCACCAAAAAACAATTTGGGTATTTTTTTAATTAGTCCACTGATACAGTAGATAAAGTCCTCAAATGTTTTGCATGTCAGCAGTCAAGTTTTCAAGATATTGAACTTTCAAGAAGCAAAGTATCACCTGCCACGTCATCGGTACTTTAGTCCTCCATAACATTTTGAAAAAGTTTTACTTTAATATTTAAAGCAAAGCAGTTACATCTAGTCAAAGTTAAAATAATTGGTCTGATTACTTTGATAGACTACTTTATCAACCTTTATAACTTTGGATTGTGTGGCAGTTAGATCACAAAAATGTCTAAACTACAGTTGTTGTGTGTGAAAACTGAAAGAAGAAAGACAAAGTGATCTTCTGTCAGAAGATGGGAATAAAGGGCACGATCATGTGGACAACACTCTTAGGAAAGCAAAGCAACTCTGAATCATATTCATGCTGTGGGTTTCAGATAAATAGATGCACGATTTACTTTTGTAAAACGTTCAGTGTAAATGAAGTTTGATTTTAGTTGAATGATAATGTAATGATTAGAAAGTTTTCGGCTATTATTTGGGGAGAGGAATATGATGGTACATCTAGTGATGACAGCTGTTTAAAAGTATTTTTGTGGTAGTTGAAGAACTATGTAGAATACGTTTGTATGTAGACCTACTGATAGCTAGCTGTAGTTCTCTCTAATAAATAAACTCTTTAGGCTAACAGAGATCACTGAAAAGTACATTTCCTGAAGAAAATGTTGTGTGCTTGCTAGCTTGTTTTAAAGTATGTATGGTTTTAAAATACGTTATAGTAGTGGTAGTGTCTGCAGTAGTAATGGTGGTGACTGGTTATGCAGTGCGTTCAGAAAGTATTCACACCCCTGGACTTTTCCCACATTTTGTTGTGTTACAGAGTGGGACTAAAATGGATTTTCATTTTAATTAAATGGAAAATAAAACACTAATATATTTTGATTAGATAAGTATTCAACCCCATGTTAGAATCACCGTTGGCACCGATTACAGCTGTGAGTCTTTCTGGGTAAGTCTCTAAGAGCTTTGCAAACCTGGATTGTAAAATTTTTGCCCATTATTATTTTAAAAATTATTCAAGCTCCTGAAGTTGGTTGTTGATCATTGCTAGCCAGCCATTTTCAAGTCTTGCCATAGATTTTCAAGCCGATTTAAGTCAAAACTGTAACTAGGCCAGTCAGGAACATTCAATGTCGTCTTGGTAAGTAACTCCACTGTATATTTGGCCTTCCGTTTAAGGTTATTGTCCTGCTGAAAGGTGGATTTGTCTCCCAGTGTCTGTTGGAAAGCAGACTGAACCAGGTTTTTCCTCTAGGACTTTGCCTATGCTTAGCTCAATTCCTTTTAATGTTATCCTAATCTTTGTCCTAGTTGGATTTGCCCCAAACATAATGCTTTGTATTCAGGACAAAAAAATGTTGTGCCCACATTTTTTGTAGTATTACTTTAGTGCCTTATTGCAAACAGGATGCACGTTTTGGAATATTTCTTCTATACAGGCTTCCTTCTTTTCACGCTGTCATTTAGGTTAATATTGTGGAGTAACCACAATGTTGTTGATCCATCCTCAGTTTTCTCCTATCACAGCCATTTAACTCTGTAACTGGTTTAAAATCACCATTGGCCTCATTGTGAAATCCCTGAGTGGTTTCCTTCCTCTCCGTCAACTGAGTTAGGAAGGACGCCTGTATCTTTGTAGTGATTGGGTGTATTGATACACCAACCAAAGTGTAATTAATAACTTCCCCATGCTCAAAGGGATATTCAATGTCTGCTTTTTATTTTAACCCATCTACCAATAGGTGCCCTTCTTTGCGAGGCATTAGAAAACGTCCCTGGTCTTTGTGGTTGAATCTGTGCTTGAAATTCACTGCTCGACTGAGGGAACATACAGATAATTGTATGTGTGGGGTACAGAGATCGGTAGTCATTTAAAAATCATGTTAAACACCATTATTGACCACAGAGTTAGTCCAGGCAACGTATTATCTGACTTGTTATGCACATTTTTACTCTTGAAGTTATTTAGGCTTGCCATACACTATCATGAATCTAGCAAATACGTTTTGTGGGTTAGAGTGCAGTATTTATTTAGTTACAAAGCAAAAAACGTTTGTTAGCATGTTTCTCACACTGGCTTTAGCCATGGAGGGAGCAGGCCTGCCAAAACAACTTTTGTCCAGCAACAACTGCCTTGGACAACAACTGCCACCGTTCACTCTCTTCATATTTCCCCCAATCACTTCTCATTGTACTTCTTTCAATTTTCACACACAACAACTGTAGTTTAGACACTGACCACAATCACACAACTACTGACCACAACTGCTGACCACAACCTCACAAAAACTGACCACAATCACACAACAATTACTGACCACAACTACTGACTGCAATCACTGACCACAACCACACAACTAGTGGCCACACAACTACTGAACACAACCACACACTACTGACCACAACTACTGACCACAATTACTGACCACAACCACACAACTAGTGACCACACAACTACTGAACCACAAAACTACTGACTACAACTCCTGACCACAACCACACAACTAATGACCACAACTACTGACCACAACCACACCACTACTGGAATAACTTACAGAGCTCTCTGAAATTAGATGCTCTGGTCCCCATGGATCAGTTCAGAGTAATGATCGGAGACCTCTATGTTGATAAATGTGTCAGTTCTTCTTAATATGTTTTGTAATTTTTTATATTGTATGTGTTTATGCAGAGCCTATCTGTAAAATAGACCCTAGTCTCAGTATGATTTCCCTGTCCAAAATATATATATCATTTTTACAAAAACACCACTCCTGACCACAACTACTTAACACCACTCCTGACCACAACTCCCCACCACAACCAAACTACTGACCACAACCACACAACTATTGACCACAAAACTACTGAACCACACAACTAATGACCACAACAGAATTACTGACCACAACTACACAGTAGGGCCCAAATAACCTGCAACACAACCACACAATTATTGACCTCAACTGCTGACCATACAACTACTGACCACAACTACACAACCAATGACAATAACTAGTGACCTCACCTAGTGACCACAACTACTGCTCTGGTCTGCACTAGCTCCGACCCAGCTCTGGTTCAGCTCTGGTCCTGGGTGTAGCTTGCTAGCTCTGGTTCGCACTAGCTCTGGTCTGCACTATACATTATAACTACTTAAATGTGCATAAATTAGCATATAATAGCCACCAACAATACTTCTAACTCTCTAACTGTTCAAGCTAGAGACACCAAACCAACTTTCACATGTTCAGGCTATCCTATCCTATCAACCAATCAATCAATCAATCAATCATTTTCTCAATCTACCTACTATTTCAACTATAACCAGTCACCACCATTACTACTGCATGAACTACCACTACTATAACTTTTTTCAAAACCATACATACTTTAAAACAAGTTAGCAAGAAAACATTTTCTTCAGGAAATTTACTTTTCAGTGATCACTGTTAGCCTAAAGAGTTTATTTATTAGCTAGAACTACAGCTAGCTATCAGTAGGTCTACATACAAACCTATTCTACATACAGTGGCTTGCAAAAGTATTCACCCCTCTTGGCAGTTTTCCTATTTTGTTGCCTTACAACCTGGAATTAAAATGGATTTTTGGGGAGGTTTGTATCATTTGATTTACACAACATGCCTACCACTTTGAAGATGCAAAATATATTATTTTGGGAAACAAACAAGAAATAAGACAAAAAAAACCTGAGCGTGCATAACTATTCACCCCCCCAAAGTCAATACTTTGTAGAGCCACCTTTTGCAGCAATTACAGCTGCAAGTCTCTTGGGGTATGTCTATAAGCTTGGCACATCCAGCCACTGTGATTTTTGCCCATTCTTTAAGGCAAAACTGCTCCAGCTCCTTCAAGTTGGATGGGTTCCGCTGGTGTACAGCAATCTTTAAGTCATACCAAAGATTCTCAATTGGATTGAGGTCTGGGCTTTGACTAGGCCATTCCAAGACATTTAAATGTTTCCCCTTAAACCACTAGAGTGTTGCTATAGCAGTTTGCTTAGGGTCATTGTCCTGCTGGAAGGTGAACCTCCGTCCCAGTCTCAAATCTTTGGAAGACAAACAGGTTTCCCTCAAGAATTTCCCTGTATTTAGCACCATCCACCATTCCTTCAATTCTGACCAGTTTCCCAGTCCCTGCCGATGAAAAACATCCCCACAGAATGATGTTGTCACCACCATGCTTCATTGTGGGGATGGTGTTCTCGCGGTGATGAGAGGTGTTGGGTTTGCGCCAGACAGCGTTTTCCTTGATGGCCAAAAAGCTCAATTTTAGTCTCATCTGACCAGAGTACCTTCTTCCATATGTTTGGGGAGTCTCCCACATGGCTTTTGGCGAACACCAAATGTGTTTGCTTATTTTTTTCTTTAAGCAATGGCTTTTTTCTGGCCACTCTTCCGTAAAGTCCAGCTCCGTGGAGTGTATGGCTTAAGGTGGTCCTATGGACAGATACTCCAATCTCTGCTGTGGAGCTTTGCAGCTCCTTCAGGGTTATCTTTGGTCTCTTTGTTGCCTCTCTGATTAATGCACTCCTTGCCTGGTCTGTGAGTTTTGGTGGGCGGCCCTCTCTTGGCAGGTTTGTTGTGGTGCCATATTCTTTCCATTTTTAAATAATGGATTTAATGGTGCTCCGTGGGATGTTCAAATTTTCAGATATATTTTTATAACCCAACCCTGATCTGTACTTCTCCACAACTTGTCCCTGACCTGTTTGGAGAGCTCCTTGGTCTTCATGGTGCTGCTTGCTTGGTGGTGCCCCTTGCTTAGTGGTGTTGCAGACTCTGGGGCCTTTCAGAACAGGTGTATATATACTGAGATCATGTAACACTTAGATTGCACACACAGGTGGAATTTATTTAACTAATTATGTGACTTCTGAAGGTAATTGGTTGCACCAGATCTTATTTAGGGGCTTCATAGCAAAGGGTTTGAATACATATGCACGCACCACTTTTCCGTTATTTATTTTGTATAATTTTAAATTATATTTTTCATTTCACTTCACCAATTTGACTATTTTGTTTATGTCCATTACATGAAATCCAAATAAAAATCCATTTAAATTACAGGTTGTAATGCAACAAAATAGGAAAAACGTCAAGGGGGATGAATACTTTTGCAAGGCACTGTAGTTATTCAACTACCAAGAAAATACTTTTAAAGAGTTGTCATCACTAGATGTACCATCATATTTCCCAAATAATAGCCTGAAGTTCTAATCATTACATCATCATTCAACGAAAATCAAACTTCATTTACACTGAACGTTTTACAAAAGTAAATTGTGCATCTATTTATCTGAAACCCACAGCATGAAGGATTCAGAGTTGCTTTGCTTTCCTAAGAGTGTTGTCCACATGATCGTGCCCTTTAAGATCACTTTGTCTTTCTTCTTTCAGTTTTCACACACATCAACTGTAGTTTAGACATTTTTCTGATCGAACTGCCCCCACCCAATCCAAAGTAATAAGGTTGATAGTGTGGTCTATCAAAGTAATCAGACCAATTACCAATTTACTACTGCTACGTCTGCTAAAATGACTAAAATGTAAAAATGTCCCACCAATTGTACTTCATGTACAATTACCATCTAGTTATTATTATTATTATTATTATTATTATTATTATTATTATTATTATTATTATTATTATTCGGAACACTACTCCTCTTAACCGTTTAAATTAGAAACGCCATTCAAACTTTAAAACGTGCAGACTGGTCTGGAATAGTGTGCTTGCACACAACTTTTTGATACTATCTATATTTATTAAACTATTACACTTTTATAAAACTTCATCCAGTTTCATGGGATTTCTTTAACATTCTAAAGCTTCCATTGTGACATCATGACTTCCAACATTCCATTCACTGTGAACGTAATAATGTAAATGTGGACACAAATCAGCTACTTTGACCACTTTCCCAACAAGTTAGACAAAAAGTGTATGAAATCTTCCTCTACTTCTCTTCTATTAAAATCAGAAATTGGAACAAAAGTATTTCATACCGTTCAAACAATACAGCTGTTTTACTAACCACGTCAATTACATTTCCTCTAACTTTTTATTTAAAAAATATGACATTTTGACCACTTTCCCAACAAGTTAGACAAAAAAGTAGAGGGTATGCCATCTTGGTCTACTTCTCTGCTATTCAAATCTGGAATCAGAACAGAATTATCTTCTACCAATCAAAAGTTATAGTTGTTTGTCGGCTTTTAGAGTGACGAAAACTAGCTAGCTAATGCCAGCTAACAGCGCTCTCATGTCTCGTCATTGAGCAGCCCAAACGGAGCCATTGCTATGGATACCAGGGCATTTCAACAGCAAAAAAATCTCCTCTTTCACCATCTAAGCTATCAACTCCAAACCAACGTTGAGATGTTCAGACAGACCCTACTTAGATTGCTTGTCAAAATATTTTTGATACTATATACTTTTTGAACTATAACCATTTAAAATGTGCGTAAATTAACATGGGTTTGAATGAGAACCATAGGAATCCTATTAAAACTGGTCCTGCTCCTTGGCCAATTAAGCTACAAGACCAACTTCAAAACATTCAGGCTACCCTAACTTCAAGTTCTTTAGAATCTTTATCAACTACATACATTGACATTTGCATAAATTAGCATAAAGCAACTCACCAACAGTAACTATTGAACCGTTCAAGCTAGATACACCAAACCATTTTTCACATGTTCAGGCTATCCTATCCACTGCCACAAAAATACTGAAGGAAGTCACACAATTTATATTCATGGAATATTACCATCTAGTTGTTATTATTATTATCATCACAAACTTGATGCTCTTAAAGAGGCAGTGTACAATTTTCAATGCAATACATCTCAACAGGAAAATAGTGCTTTTAAATCATGTAGAAACCTAATATTCCACAAATTACTTTCTAATTTCAATGACAGGTATTTGTATCAACATTTTAGGCTTTTATAATAAACAAATGTATTTACAGGGTTACATATTAGTTTCGAGGGCACAACATGTACTTCAGAAGTAGCTAGAATTCATATAGGCTGTATTTGAATCGATAAAAAAAAAAAAAACGTATTTTCTGGTGCTACCAATTAAACATTTTAATTTAGAGCCCTGCCTCTGACCCACCTGTGAGATGTTGACCAGCAGGCTGGCATTGTTGACGTTTCCCACCCTGATGAGGCCAGACTGCATGAGGCCTCTCTGGGCCTGGGAGCCGGGTACGTTGGCCCTGGGGGCCAGCAGCAGGGGAGGGGGGCCAGAGCCCCCAGAGCCAGACCCTGACAGTTGCTGTTGCTGCCGGAGAGACTGGATCTGCTGAGGAGACACAGCAATTGGCTACAAAGGACAGAGATGGGAGACAGGGGAGAGAATTGGAGAGAGTGGACCGAGGAGGAGAAGAGGGAAAGGGCATGGATAGAGAGGGCCAACATTGGACAGAGAGAGGGCATATAGAAAAGGGCATGTGTCGGTCAACAAAAGACAGAAAAGGATGAGGGCGCAATATGTGAGGAAGGGTGGAGAGATGGGGGGGGGGGGGGGGGGGGGGGGGGTGAGAGAAACAAAGAGAGAGAGAGAGAAAAGAAAACAGGTGAGCGTAGTCTAAGACACAAAAAGTAATTAGTAGTGAGAATTGATATTAGCTGATGACCAGTTTGGCAGGTAGATTGTGGCCTGTCTTACCTTTGCCCCTCTGACCAGGGGTGGCATTATGATCTGGGAGTTGTGGGAGCCATGTTTGGAGGAGATCTGCTGCCCGCCCCTCACCAGAGGAGGAGGAATGACTGTGCCCGAACTCCTACGGATCAGAGATGGAGGAGCCGCAGAACCTGACAATACTGAGGGCTGTGGAACAAGACAGAGATGGAGAGAATGAGCTGGGTATGTGTGTGTCTATTTGTAAGTGTTTGGAGGTATGCATCTGGATGAGTGTATGTGTTTACCTGTGTGGCTTTTTCTGTATTGTGTGTGTGTGTGTGTGTATGTGTGTGAGCAAGCGAGAGAGAGAGAGAGACTGTGATCTGAACTCCAGTTTTCCGCTCTTGGAAACCAAATTCCTTCTTGGGCAGAGGGTGACACTGATTTTATGTCACAGGCAGGGCTACCTCATCACGACAGATGAGTCCAACTCACCTTGGCTACATGTGTCCATACCTTCTGCAGTGTGTCCTTCTGTATCTGGCTCTGTCGTAGTTTCTTCAGCAGCACCAGCTTGGCCTCCTCCAACCTCAGCTCCTCTTTCAACTGCTTTATGATGCGATCCCTCTCCTCTGGACTTCTCTTCTACACACAGACACCAGATAAAGACCAGTTAGACCAGAGAGAGAGAGACCAGCGCAGCAGACAGAGAGACCAGGGCTTATATCCACAAAGCTTCTCACAGTAGGAGTGCTGATCTAGGATCTGCCCATCCAATCTTATTCATTATGAACTAAAAATAAAAACGGATGCTACATTAGCACTCCTACTCTAATATGCTTTGTAGATACAGGCCCTGGGCCCGGATTTTAAAAAGTTATTTAGAGTAGGAGATGGATCTTGGATCAGATGGCCAGAGAAGGAACATGTTACAAGGAACATCATGGGAGGTCAAAAAATGTCTGGTATACTTCCAATAAAATTGTATTGGTCCCGTACACATATTTTGCAGATGTTATCGCAGGTATAGTGAAACGCTTATGGTCCTAGCTCCAACAGTGCAGTAATACCTAACAATAAAAAAAAAACACATAAATCAAAAAATAAAAATAAAGGAATTAAGCAATATTAAAACGAGCAATGTCAGAGACCGGAATATAAATATACACTACCGGTTAAAAGTTTTAGAACACCTACTCATTCAAGGGTTTTTCATTATTTTTACTATTTTCAACATTATAGGAAAATAGTAAAGACATCAAAACTATGAAATAACACATATGGAATCATGTAGTAACCAAAAAAGTGTTAAACAAATCAAAATATATTTTATATTTGAGATTCTTCAAATAGCCACCCTTTGCCTTGATGACAGCTTTGCACACTCATGGCATTCTCTCAACCAGCTTCATGAGGCAGTCACCTGGAATGCATTTCAATTAACAGGTGTGCCTTCTTAAAAGTGAATTTCTTAATGCGTTTCAGCCAATCAGTTGTGTTGTGACAAGGTAGGGGGGGGTACACAGAAGATAGCCCTATTTGATAAAAGCCCAAGTCTATATTATGGCAAGAACAGCTCAAATAAGCAAAGAGAAACGACAGTCCATCATTACTTTAAGACATGAAGATCAGTCAATCCGGAAAATGTCAAGAACTTTGAACGTTTCTTCCAGTGCAGTCGAAAAAACCATCAAGCACTATGATGAAACTGGCTCTCATGAGGACCGCCATAGGAATGGAAGACCCAGAGTGCCCTCTGCTGCAGAGGATAAGTTAATTAGAGTTACCAGCCTCAGAAAATCCAGCCCAAATAAATGCTTCCCAGAGTTCAAGTAACAGACACATCTCAACATCAACTGTTCAGAGGAGACTGCATGAATCAGGCCTTCATGGTCGATTTGCTGCAAAGAAACCACTACTAAAGGACACCAATAAGAAGAAAAGACCTGCTTGGGCCAATAAACACGAGCAATGGACATTAGACCAGTGGAAATGTGTCCTTTGGTCCGGAGTCCAAATTGGAGATTTTTGGTTCCAACCGCCGTGTCTTTGTGAGACGCGGTGTGGGTGAACTGATGATCTCCGCATGTGTATATCCCACTGTAAAGCATGGAGGAGGAGGTGTTATGGTGTGGGGGTGCTTTGCTGGTGACACTGTCTGTGATTTATATAGAATTCAAGGCACACTTAACCAGCATGGCTACCACAGCATTCTGCAGCGATATGCCATCCCATCTGCTTTGGGCTTAGGGGGAATATCATTTGTTTTTCAACAGGACAATGACCCAACACACCTCCAGGCTGTGTAAGGGCTATTTTACCAAGAAGGAGAGTGATGGAGTGCTGCATCAGATGACCTGGCCTCCACAATCCCCTGACCTCAACCAAATTGAGATGGTTTGGGATGAGTCGGACGGCAGAGTGAAGGAAAAGCAGCATATATGTGGGAACTCCTTCAAGACTGTTGGAAAAGCATTCCAGGTGAAGCTGGTTGAGAGAATGCCAAGAGTGTGCTGAGCTGTCGTCAAGGCAAAAGGTGGCTTTTTGAAGAATCTCAAATATAACATATATTTGGATTTGTTTAACACTTTTTTGGTTACTACATGATTCCATGTTTTATTTCATAGTTTTGTTGTCTTCACTATTGTAGAAAATAGTAAAAATAAAGAAAAACCCTTGAATGAGTAAGTGTTCTAAAACTTTTGACCGGTAGTGTATATGTATAGAACGTGGTCTCAGAGCATTTCATATTATTCTGAACATAAATCCGAGACACTCCATTTAGTATATGTTACGTTTCGTATGGTATGGTATGTATTAATATGTGGATGTCCATCATCCATTTCGTATGATATGTTATGAAATACAATTCGTATGATACTGTTTGTTACGAATTGCAATTAGTTCAATACAAATTGTTACGAATTTGCAAAATGTACAATATGTTACGAATTTGCTAAACGTATATGTTACAAATTCCAATTTGTTGTGGCTAACTTTGGCTAGGTGGCTAACGTTAACTAGCTCTAGGGGTTAGGGTTTAAGGTTAGGAGTTAGGTTAAAGGGTTGTGGTTAGGGATAGTCTTAGGGAAAGGGTTAGCTAACATGCTAAGTAGTTGCAAAGTAGCTAAATAGTAGTTGCAAAGTAGTTAATTAGCTAAAATGCAAAAGTTGTCTGTGATGAGATTCGAACACGCAACCTTTTGGTTGCAAGACCTTCGCGTTATACCTTGCCTTAAGTAACCTTCTATCTTATGTAACCAAACCAAACATAACATATCATACTAATTTTGAGTGTCCCGGATTGACATTTACTATGCTACGTCTAGTCTCAGTGTATGAATAGAAAAGGTGTATACAGCAATAGTTACATAGGATGAGCCTTCTCTAGAATACAGTATATACAGTGCATTCTGAAGTATTCAGACCCGTTGACTTGTTGTTACGTTACAGCCTTATTCTAAAATGGATTTGTTTGATTGTTTTCCTCATCAATCTACACACAATACCCCATAATGACAAAGCGAAAAACAGGTTTCTAGAAAGTTTTGCAAATAAAAATAAATAAATAAATACCTTCTTTACATAAGCGTCTGCTAAATGACTAAAATGTAATGTAAATGTATTCAGACCCTTTGCTAGGAGACTCCAAATTGAGCTCAGGTGCATCCTGTTTCCATTGATCATCCTTGAGATGTTTCTACAACTTGATGGTAGAGAATTGATCCAAATAGCTCCCTCCTCAATATCCTCCCCTATTCCCCCTGTCCCAAAAGACTCCTGTTCATTAACACTCTTCAATGACTTGATAATGTGCTATACATACAGTGCATTCGGAAAATATTCAGACCCCTTCCCCTTTTCCACAGTATGTTACGTTACAGCCTTATTCTAAAATGGATCAAATTAAAAATGTACCCTCATCAATCTACACACAATATATCATAATGACAAAGCGAAAACAGGTTTTTAGAATAAAAACAGATACCTTATTTGCATAAGTATTCAGACCGTTTGCGATGACACTCGGAATTGACCTCAGGTGCATCCTGTTTCCATTAATCATCCTTGAGATGTTTCTATAACTTCATTGGAGTCCACCTGTGGTAAATTCAATTGATTGGACATGATTTGGAAAGGCACACACCTGTCTATATAAGGTCCCACAGTTGACAGTGTGTGTCAGAGCCAAAACCAAGCCATGAGGTCGAATGAATTGTCCATAGAGCTCCGAGACAGGATTGTGTCGAGGCACAGATCTGGGGAAGGGTACCAAAACATTTCTGCAGCATTGAAGGTCCCCACAACACAGTGGCTCCATCATTCTTAAATGGAAGAAGTTTGGCACCACCAAGACTCTTCCTAGAGCTGGCCACCCAGCCAAACTGAGCAATCAGGGGAGAAGGGCCTTGGTCAGGGAGGTGACCAAGAACCCGATGGTCACACTGACAGAGCTCCAGAGTTCCTCTGTGGAGATGGGAGAACCTTCTCAGCAGCACTCCACCAATCAGGCCTTTATGGTAAAGTGGCCAGACGGAAGCCACTCCTCAGTAAAATACACATGACAGCCCGCTTGGAGTTTGCCAAAAAGCACCTAAAAGGACTATCAGACCATGAGAAACAAGATTATCTGGTCTGATGAAACCAATATTGAACTCTTTGGCCTGAATGCCAAGAGTCACGTCTGAAGGAAACCTGGCACCATCCCTACGATGAAGCATGGTGGTGGCAGCATCATGCTGTGGGGATGTTATTCAGCGGCAGGGACTGGGAGACTAGTTAGGATCAAGGGAAAGATGAACGGAGCAAAGTACAGAGAGATCCTTGATGAAAACCTGCTCCAGTGCTCTCAGAACCACAGACTGGGAAGAAGGTTCACCTTCCAAACAGAACGACGACCCTAAACACACAGCCAAGACAACGCAGGAGTGGCTTCGGGACAAGTCTCTGAATGTCCTTGAGTGGCCCAGCCAGAGCCCGGACTTGAACCCGATCTAACATCTCTGGAGAGACCTGAAAATAGCTGTGCAGCGAGGCTTTCCATCCAACCTGACAGAGCTTGAGAGGATCTGCAGAGAAGAATGGGAGAAACTCCCCAAGTATAGGTGTGTCAAGCTTGTAGCGTCATACCCAAGAAGACTCAAGGCTGTAATCGCTGCCAAAGGTGCTTCAACAAAGTACTGAGTAAAGGGTCTGAATACTTATGTAAACGGTTTATTTAAGTTTGTTATTTGTAATACATTTGCTAAAATTTATTTGCTTGGTCATTATGAGGTATTGTGTGTATATTGATGTGGGAAAAAAACCAATTAAATTCATTTTAGAATAAGGCTGTAACGTAAGGGGTCTGAATACTTTCCGAATGCACTGTACATAAATGGGTAAAAAAACATTGTAACATTATTAAAGTGACCAGTGTTCAATGACTATGTACATAGGGCATCAGTCTCTAAGGTGCAGGGTTAAGTACCAGGTGGTAACCGGCAAGAAACAGTGACTAAAGTTCAGGGCAGGGTAGTAGTATAGTTATTTCACTAACCATAAGTAGGTCTGTGTCCAGCTCCTTGAGGTGGTTCAAGCCGTTCATCGGGGGACTGCAGGAGTCATTATCCGACAGGACGATGACATCATCGTCTGGGGACAGGGGACACTTCTCCCTCTTTAAAGTTCTAATCGAAAAAGAAAAGAGAGATTAATATACAAAAATTAAATTGAATCTGAAATTGGGTAAAAAAAATAAGTGTAGTAACCCATGTTGTCCAGAAGATGGTAACAAGTGTAAATTCATAATATCTTCTGTTATGTAGTTTCACTTCTCAGAAAGTGGCACCTCAACAATAGAGATATAGATATCACTTGGCTAGCCTCCTTGCTTCCCATAGATTCACTAATAATGTAGGCCTACACATCAGATGTAGCCTACATATATATATTTTTACCCATATTTTACCAGGTAAATTGACTGAGAACACATTCTCACTTACAGCAACGACCTGGGGAATAGTTACAGGGGAGAGGAGGGGGGATGAATGAGCCAATATCTTATCCATACTCAGATACAGTGCATTCGGAAAGTATTCAGACCCCTAGACTCTTTCCACATTTCGTTACGTTACAGCCTTATTCTAAATGGATGAAATAGTTTTTCCCCCTCAATCTACACACAATACCCTATAATGACAAAGCAAAAACTAACATTTACATAAGTATTCAGACCCTTTACTCAGTACTTTGTTGAAGCACCTTTGGCAGCGATTACAGCCTAGAGTATTCTTGGGTATGACGCTACATGCTTGACACATCTGTAATTGGGAACTTTCTCAATTTCTTCTCTGCAGATCCTCTCCAGCTCTGTCAGGTTGGATGGGGAGCGTCGCTGCACAGCTATTTTCAGGTCTCTCCAGAGATGTTAGATCGGGTTCAAGTCCGGGCTCTGGCTGGGCCACTCAAGGACATTCAGAGACTTCTCCCGAAGCCACCCCTGCGTTGTCTTGGCTGTGTGCTTAGGGTCGTTGTCCTGTTGGAAGGTGAACCTTCACCTCCCTGACCAAGGCCCTTCTCCCCCGATTGCTCAGTTTGGCCGGGCGGCCAGCTCTAGGAAGGGTTTTGGTGGTTCCAAACTTCTTCCATTTAATAATGATGGGGGCCACTGTGTTCTTGGGGACCTTCAATGCTGCAGAAATGTTTTGGTATCCTTCCCCAGATCTGTGCCTCGGCACAATCCTGTCTCAGAGCTCTACGGACAATTCCTTCGACCTCATGGCTTGGTTTTTGTTCTGACACACACTGTCAACTGTGGGACCTTATATAGACAGGTGTGTGCCTTTCCAAATCATGTCCAATCAATTGAATTTACCACAGGTGGACTCCAATCAAGTTGTAGAAACATCTCAAGGATGATTAATGGAAACAGGATGCACCTGAGGTCAATTCCGAGTGTCATCGCAAACGGTCTGAATACTTATGCAAATAAGGTATCTGTTTTTATTCTAAAAACCTGTTTTCGCTTTGTCATTATGAGATATTGTGTGTAGATTGATGAGGGTACATTTTTTATTTGATCCATTTTAGAATAAGGCTGTAACGTAATATACTGTGGAAAAGGGGAAGGGGTCTGAATACTTTCCGAATGCACTGTATGTATAGCACATTATCAAGTCATTGAAGAGTGTTAATGAACAGGAGTCTTTTGGGACAGGGGAATAGGGGAGGATATTGAGGAGGGAGCTATTTGGATCAATTCTCCGTTATCTACAGTGCGTCTACAAAAGCAGACAGCCAGCAGCAGCTCCCCCTTCCCCTCAACCCCTCTTTTTCATAAACAAAAAGTTTTTATTTTATAATTTCTTGCACACTCAGTGGACTCTAGTACCCACACACTCAGACATACTTCATTGACACTAAAACACACACAACATACACTCACACACTACATACACTCACACACTACATACACACACACACACACACACACTTTCACACTAATCAAATCAAATTTTATTTGTCACATGCGTCGAATACAACAGGTGTAGACCTTACCGTGAAATGCTTACTTACAAGCCCTTAACCAACAATGCGGTTCAAGAAAGAGTTAAGAAAATATTTACTAAATAAACTAAAGTAACACAATAAAATGACAATAAATAGTCCGGGTGGCCATTTGATTAATTGTTCAACAGTCTTATGGCTTGGGGGTAGAAGCTGTTAAGGAGCCTTTTGGACCTAGACTTGGTGCTCCGGTACAGCTTGCTGTGCGGTAGCAGAGAGAACAGTCTATGACTTGGGTGACTGGAGTCTTTGACAATTTTTGGGGCCTTCCTCTGACACCGCCTAGTATATAGGTCCTGGATGGCAGGAAGCTTGGCCCCAGTTATGTACTGGGCCGTACGCACTACCCTCTGTAGCACCTTACGGTCGGATACCGAGTAGTTGCCATACCAGATGGTGATGCAACCGGTCAGGATGCTCTCGATTGTGCAGCTGTATAACGTTTTGAGGATCTGGGGACCCATGCCAAATCTTTTCAGTCTCCTGAGGGGGAAAAAGTGTTGTCGTGCCCTCTTCACGACTGTCTTGGTGTGTTTGGACCATGATAGTTTGTTGGTGATGTGGACACCAAGGAACTTGAAACTCTCTACCCGCTCCACTGCAGCCCCGTCGATGTTAATGGGGGCCTGTTCGGCTCTCCTTTTCCTGTAGTCTACGATCAGCTCCTTTGTCTTACTCACATTGAGGGAGAGGTTGTTGTCCTGGCACCACACTGCCAGGTCTCTGACCTCCTCCCTATAGGCTGTCTCATCGTTGTCGGTGATTAGGCCTACCACTGTTGTGTCGTCAGCAAACTTAATGATGGTGTTGGAGTCGTGCTTGGCCACGCAGTCGTGGGTGAACAGGGAGTACAGGAGGGGACTAAGTACGAACCCCTGAGGGGCCCCAGTGTTGAGGATCAGCGTGGCAGATGTGTTGTTGCCTACCCTTACCACCTGGGGGAGTCCCGTCAGGAAGTCTAGGATCCAGTTGCAGAGGGAGGTGTTTAGTCCCAGGGTCCTTAGCTTAGTGATGAGCTTTGTGGGCACTATGGTGTTGAACGCTGAGCTGTAGTCAATGATCAGCATTCTCACATAGGTGTTCCTTTTGTCCAGGTGGGAAAGGGCAGTGTGGAGTGTGATTGAGATTGCGTCATCTGTGGATCTGTTGGGGCAGTATATGCAAATTGGAGTGGGTCTAGGGTTTCCGGGATGATGGTGTTGATGTGAGCCATGACCAGCCTTTCAAAGCACTTCATGGCTACCGACGTGAGTGCTACGGGGCGGTAGTCATTTATGCAGGTTACCTTCGCTTTCATGGGCACAGGGACTATGGTGGTCTGCTTGAAACATGTTGGTATTACAGACTCAGTCAGAGACATGTTGAAAATGTCAGTGAAGACACTTGCCAGTTGGTCCACGCATGCTCTGTGTACATGTCCTGGTAATCAGTCTGGCCCCGCGGCCTTGTGAATGTTGACCTGTTTAAAAGGTCTTGCTCACATCGGCTACGGAGAGCGCGATCACACAGTCGTCCGGAACAGCTGGTGCTCTCATGCATGCTTCAGTCTTACTTGCCTCGAAGCGATCGTAAAAAGGCATTTAGCTCGTCTGGTAGGCTCGCGTAACTGGGCAGCTCGCGGCTGGGTTTCCCTTTGTAGTCTGTAATAGTTTGCAAGCCCTGCCACATCCGACGAGCGTCAGAGCCAGTGTAGTAGTATTCAATCTTAGTCTTGTATTGACGCTTTGCCTGTTTGATGGTTCGTCTGAGGGCATAGCAGGATTTCTTATAAGCGTCCGGATTAGTATCCCGCTCCTTAAAAGCGGCAGCTCTAACCTTTAGCTCGGTGCGGATGTTGCCTGTAATCCATGGCTTCTGGTTGGGATATGTACGTACGGTCACTGTGGGGACGACGTTGTCGATGCACTTTTTGATGAAGCCGGTGACTGAGGTGATATACTCCTCAAAGCCATTGGATGAATCCTGGAACATATTCCAGTCTGTGCTAGCAAAACAGTCCTGTAGCGAATCATCCGCGTCATCTGACCACTTGCTTTAGTTTTTCTTGTAAGCAGGAATCAGGAGGACAGAATTATGGTCAGATTTTCCAAATGGAGGTTGAGGGAGAGCTTTGTATGCGCCTCTGTGTGTGGAGTAAAGGTGGTTTAGAGTTTTTTTCCCCTCTGGTTGCTCATGTGACATGCTGGTAGAAATTAGGCAAAATGGATTGAAGTTTGCCTGCATTAAAGTCCCTGGCCACTAGGAGCGCCGCTTCTGGATGAGCATTTCCTTGTTTGCTTATGGCCTTATACAGCTCGTTGAGTGTGGTCTTAGTGCCAGCATCGGTTTGTGGTGGTAAATAGACGGCTACGAATAATATAGATGAGAACTCTCTTGGTAAATAGTGTGGTTTACAGCTTATCATGAGGTACTCCACCTCAGGCGAGCAATACCTTGAGACTTCTTTAATATTAGACATCGCGCACCAGCTGTTATTGACAAATAGACACACACCCACACCCCATCTAACCAGACGTATCTGCTCTGTCCTGCCGATGCACGGAAAACCCAGCCAGCTGTATAATCTATGTGTCGTTGTTCAGCCACGACTCGGTGAAACATAAGATATTACAGTTTTTAATGTCCCGCTGATAGGATAGTCTTGATCGTAGATCATCCAGTTTATTTTCCAGTGATTGCACGTTGGCCAATAGAACGGATTGTAAAGGCGGTTTACCCACTCGCCGACGAATTCTCACAAGGCACCCAGACCACGGCCCCCTTTATTTCTGTCTTTTCTTCACGCGAATGACGGGATTTGGGCCTGGTCTCGGGGAAGCAGTATATCCTTCGCGTCGGACTCATTAAAGAAAAAAATATTTGTCCAGTTCGAGGTGAGTAATCGTACAAAATAAGTTACAAACAATGTGAAAAAACTAACAAAATAAAACGGCAGCCATTATCCATTACGCTGCTGCTACTCTGTTTATTATCTATCCTGATTGCCTAGTCACTTTTTCCCCTACCCACGTGTACATACTGTATTACCTGAATTACCTCAACTACCTCGTACCCCTAGCACATTGACTCGGTACCGGTACTCCTTTTATATAGTCTCGTTATTCTTATTGTATTGTGTTACTATTTCCTTTTTTGTTTTTACAAATTGTCGTACTTTTTAACTGCATTGTTGGGAAAGGGCTCGTAGTAAGCATTTTATGGTAAATTCTACACCCATTGTATTCGGCACTTGACAAATAAAATTCGATTTGTATGAAAAATGTATGCACTCACTAACTGTAAGTCGCTCTGGATAATAGCGTCTGCTAAATGACTAAAATGTTTTTTTTTAAATTATAACGAGTAGCAGTGTTTGTATTGGAAGGCTACCAGTTTATATTTGTTGTATGTTAGACCTAGGTCAAAAACCTTGTGTGGGCTTGCCCGTTGCCACTAGTCTAATGACATTCTGTTTGAGTTTAATAATAATAATATGCCATTTAGCAGACGCTTTTATCCAAAGCGACTTACAGTCATGCGTGCATACATTTTTGTGTATGGGTGGTCCCGGGGATCGAACCCACTACCTTGGCGTTACAAGCGCCGTGCTCTACCAGCTGAGCTACAGAGGACCAGTTTGATCAGCATCAATGAAATGTGGATTGCTGTAAACCTTTATCGATATGAATAACCCAGTTTAGACTGGAAAATGAAAGTTAGATGTAGAGTAAATGATGAATTCTAATGAGACGGATTGTCAATTCTCAGAAGTGGGCATTACAATAAGCAGCCTCGTCCTCCTCAGGGCTTAGCACCTTGAGAGTGTGTGTGTGCATGTGTGTCGCCCCATTACCACTTCCTGTGGATTAATCACTCATCCAAAGCAGGTCACATGACCCTCCACTCAGGCATCATCACGTGACCCTGCCTCTCACACCGCCCCCCCTCCCCTCACTGTTCCTTCCACTGTGGAAACCATGGCAATGGCTGGTTGGAACCGGTTTGTGACACACAGGCTTCATTTTGTGGAGGGGAGTTTTAGGGTTCAGGTGGTGACAGGGGAAAATGGAGGGAGGGCCAGGCACGGGAAGTTTTGAAGGACAGTTTTCTTTTGAAAAATAAAAATAAAACTGCCCCCCCCCCCTCCTTGCCCCCCACACCGCAAATAGTAGGTACTCCGTTCAATAAGAGCAATGAAGATTCCAATTACAAAATCTTCTTAAAAACAACTTTCTTTTTATCTCATTGATCTCTCACTACGCCCCCCCCCCTGACCTCAAGTCAGTTTTGAATGGCATAGAGTAAATGGTACTAGAACTATAGTAAAAGGAGCTTCTCTCACATCAGTTTTTAGGAGAATAAATACAGTGTGGTCTCACCCTCTAGACGTGCTCATATCCAGCGCCTGCTCTCTTGTCTGGACCTCCACTTTAATGGTAGCCTTCACCTCCGTTGCCGCCATCATACCACTAGCCACCTTCGGTTCCGACCGCACAGTCCTGTTCCGCCCATCTAGAGGCACCACCCCCTTCACCCTGACCCGGTCGCTGTGGTCATTCCACTCAGTCCGGTTGTCTAAGCTCGGTTCTGACCATTTCGGGGCCCGGTCCGGCTCTGGCTCCTTTGTTGGTTGGGACGGTAACACTAGCGGTAATGTTAACTGGGGTAGTTCTGGTTCCTTCTCAGGCTTGACCACAGGTTTAAAATGGTCTAGGTCATCTTTTGTGGTTTCGGGTTGTGGTTGTGGTTTAGTTGAGCTCTCATCATCCTGGTCTGGAGCTCCAGTCTCTGCCCGGTCTAATTTGGGCTTCTTGCTGTCGGACTCAGTGGGAGGGGCTTCGGAATCAGGGGACGGGACTTCTCTCCCCAGCGCCCTCTTCTGACTGCGCGTCTGACGAACAGCCTCCTCAGACATCCCCCTACAAAGAGACGGACAGAAGACGAGTTGGTCAGACATTCACTTGAATAGACAAAGCTGACATCAATAGACAGTAAAGCATATAGCCTTGGACCAGGATGGGTATAGCTGACCTCAAATCAGTTGTAAAACAAAGTGTATAGAACTTGGACAGGCATAGCTGACCTTGAATCCATTTTTAGAGATAAAGCCCAGCTGACCTTGAAGCATTTACTGAGGACAGAGGCAAAACACCACGCCAGATTCAGTCCCTCTCTATTAAGCTAGCTAAGTGGGCACCAGATGTTGTCCTGTGGGACAGAATGGAGAGAGACTTACAGTAGTTCCCTCTCTCCCTCTCTCTCACTCTTGTCTGTCAATGGGACTGATGGCTATGGGATTGGAACACACATGACCACCTTGGTGCCAGCTACCCAGATGCTAGCTGGTCTTAATCCCTGCTTCCCATTTATACACACACACACGCATGCACGCACACACAGAGGAAGACAGCTATAGGGAAACAGTTAGACGAGGTGCCAGGAAACAAGTAGAGAGACTTGACTAGACTGAGGCAAGACTAGACTGTCTGTAGGAGATACTCCGAGACTAATCACAGTCATACTAACAGACAGACAGACACTATAGACAGACAGTACAGTGAGGAGTTGTGTCCTGCGTCATACATGCGGACTGGGGTCCCAATGCTGACCTCCATAAATAAACAGAACACTCACTCAGGCCCCTTGTCTGCCCAGTGACACACGGCAGGAAGCTACGGCTTTGGGAAAAAACAGCCACATTAACCAGAATAGGGTAGTTTGGCGGCAAACATGCAGCACACACTGCCACACTCATTACTGTACCTGGGCCACACACACACACATACATCTCATCTGATAAAAGAAAGCGGACTCAAGTTTTTTTTCAACCTCTCTGACATCACTGAGGCACACATGACCCTTCCCAGGATTCATAGGGAGACAAAGCACTTTTTCTAAGAACCAGTCTAAACCGGTTGGCGAGTGATTGTGTGTGAGCATGTGTGTGTATGTGAGAGAGAGAGAGAGAGAGAGAGAGAGAGAGAGAGAGAGAGAGAGAGAGAGAGAGAGAGAGAGAGAGAGAGAGAGAGAGAGAGAGAGAGAGAGAGAGAGAGAGAGAGAGAGAGAGAGAGAGAGAGAGAGAGAGAGGAGAGAGAGAGAGAGAGGAGAGAGGAGAGGAGAGAGAGAGAGAGAGAGAGAGAGAGAGAGCGAGAGCGAGAGAGAGAGAAAAGCAGTTTTTAACCCTTTGAGTGCCAGAACGGAAACTCAGTTTCTACACTAACAGACGCTTGTATAAGTGGTAGGGAGTGAGAGAGAGGGGGGAGTGACGATAGGGAGGGGGAAAGACAAGGGGGGGGGGGGGGGGGCTGAGGGCGGTAGCATTCCAAAACACACGTCTGCCGGGAAGATGAGGGAAGAAGAAAAGGAGGGAGGGAGGGAGGAATGAAGCGCCCAAAATACTGATGCACACTCATGTCTGCTGCTGTCACCACTACAACTCTGGGTAGAACTTTTCTGTAGGCACTAGGTAGTAGGGCCTACAAGGCACATGTCTAGGATCAGCTCACTCTCCCCAAATCCTAAACTCATCTATTAGGGCAGAAAATGCTAAACTAACTTCAGATTAGTGTCTAGAGCAGGGATGTCAAACTCATTTTCGATGCTCCCTGACTGTCTATCAATGTAGGTCCATTATCATTTCTACACAGTTTCGATTTGGTTTTAGTCATTTTAAAGTATATTTAGTTAATTTCCCACCCCCCTTGCGGGACTGTACGTTTGACACCCCTGGTCTAAAGGCTACTTGATCCTATTGTTACAGTGAAAAGTGCAATGTCACTGTCTACAGAGTGTAGTGGAAGTTGGCCCTATCAGCAGCCGGTCCAAGGGCAGTTCAGCTTTTTAAAAGGGAAGGTCAGGATCTGAACGACTTAATGGCTGACAGGTTTCAGGTTACATCTCTATGGCAGCTCACACACATCCACCAAGATGATATATCCATCCATCAGAAAGCTCTCCCCCTTCGCCACACACAGGAAAGGCCTACATTGGCATGATCTTCATCATCTCCACCATCACCATCACATTAATGGCTGACAGGTTTCAGGTTACATCTCTATGGCAGCTCACACACATCCACCAAGATGATATATCCATCCATCAGAAAGCTCTCCCCCTTCGCCACACACAGGAAAGGCCTACATTGGCATGATCTTCATCATCTCCACCATCACCATCACAGACCTGGTTCTCTTATACAACAGTTATCAGCCAATAACAACACACAATCAGGCCCCTGCACAATAACCTAACGTAGCAGGCGTATATGAAACGCCTGAAACTACATGCCCCACATTCTGGTCATGACGAGAATAATTTTTTTTTTTTTAACTGTTGGGGGAGGTTCTCTTCTGCAGTGTTCAACAAATCGAGTAAATGTGAAGGAGGAGTTAAGATGAGGTGTCGCAATTCTGGATGGAAACCCCTTCAGAGAGCCAGCTAGCAAACGTGCCGTAGCTAACTGCTATATGTTTCACAGTGGACTGTAAACAGCGAGGCGCACGTCCAAAAGCACAAGTTGAGTCACAGGCTCGCTTCCTTTTCCCCTGAAAACCAGACTTTTGCAGACTCCGCTGAGTTCTTCTGCACAACCACCACCGACCAATAGAAGATAACACGGTGTCTCCGTCTGCAACGCCGCATCTGTTTGTTTTGTGGCATTTCAGTCCTTTGTCTCCGTGACCTCTTGTCCTTCCTGACCAAATGCTACTCTTTTTGTTTACTCCGCTGTTCACCCAATCTGTATGTCCCTGTCTAACTAGGCCTAATTGTATAAAAGATGTTGAAGATAAAATAAAACTTGCTTTATTTTATTGAGTATCGTACCTTGTAATTTTTTCATGATATCCAAGTATCAACTTTAGGACATCAACACACAACACACAACAAAAGGCTACTTGACAGGTTGATTCCAACTATAGGATACAGATGTAGGTATGCTATGCAATGATATTGCAGATTTTCCAAGATCAGATAATCAGCAAAAACTCAGTCTCTGCTGTAGCTATCATGTCCAAGCCCAGGTCCAGTTTGGATTCTGTAGCCTTGAAACCAGACTGAGTAATCACTTCTTCTCAGCAGCAGTTATCTGCAGCCGCATCAGTCTTCAGCCTGCTGTTTACTCACTAATACAGACCTTAACCCTGGTGAGAATATATTTTTTCTATCCACACTGCGGGATTCGACCCATCTCAATGGATCTATGCAGAGCCACACATTATGATAGCTCTAGAATCAACGATGGGCCTGGCTATAGCCAAAATAAGGCTCCCTTAAAACACATGTAATCTTTAAAGATGACAGACACACAGGGGGACTGAGACCCTTCTCTATGTATCAAACCATATGTCTAATCTGCTCTTTCAGACTAGATTTTAGGCCTATAATGACAGACAAAAAGACAGACAGACATTTTTTGTCACACACTCTTAATAACCCTTTCCGCCGCCTAATTGATCGGCTAACGGATGAGATGGGGTTTTACATAGTGTGTGAGTGGCAGATCTTCAGAGTCTTAAGGCGTCAGCATGCTTCAGTGTGCTCGCATACTCCATTAAAATACCTTCGCTTGAAAAATTAGAAAAAGGTGGCAATAGTACTGTTTGTCCATTTTGAGATGCCATAGCCAGTATACACTTCCTCAAAATAGTCCGAATTAATTTAAGATAACTCAAGAAATCTGTCATTAATTTTGACGTTTCTGTGGAGGAGATCTTAGTTGCGCAATTTTACATCCAACTAAGATGTTTGGTGCAATATTTCGCAATGAAAAAATGTGCATGAAAACGAGTCATCTCCTTGAATTACAACAAAGACTTTATTGAAGAATCCCTACTGTTGACCAATCACCGATGAAGGGGCATAGACTTCGGCTCCGAACTTTGGCTTGCCTCAAGAAAAAATTTAATGTGCGCAAAGAGCCGAAAAAACCCTTACTGAATTACAAAACGTCACAAAATGTCGTCATAATATATGCACGAACATCTTCCGAACTGTTTCGGTTGGGAAGCATGCGGACGCCTTCAGCCAGCCCTGTGTCTGTGTGGGGTCAGGGCCAACACAGAGGAGCCAAAAGTTGGGCCTTTCACCATAGGCTTTAACATGTTAAACCTATGTCCAATGGTATGTTGGACAGAAAAGTTGGTCAAAGGTGATAGTAGAGAGAAAATGTATAGTATTTCAACGACCTGCTTGGATGAGCTACAGTACCTCTCTCTGAGCTACTTCAACATTCTACACTGATAGCTGATGGCTAGGTTTTTCGGAACTGTGCAATTCAATGGTTTACTTTTCGAGCATCTCTCTGAATGCTGCAAGTAAACTACACAGAGTCTAGAATTTGAATTGCTGGCATCATTGCATTTGCATAATACAAATGTACATAACGGCATTGTTGGGTAGATTACTTTTTTAAATGTGATCAGTTACAGTTACTAGTTACCTGTCCAAAATCGCAATCAGTAATGTAACGTTTGGATTACCCAAATTTAGTAACATAATCTGATTACTTTATGTTACTTTTAGATTACTTTCCCCTTAAGAGGCGCAGGTTAGCGTTTTTCTTCATGAATCTTGTTCTGGTGGTCACTAGCTGGCACTGCCCCAAGTCATAAAATCTGATTTTTTTAAACCCTAACCACACTGCTAACCCTAATGCTTAACCCTAACCTTAAATTAAAAACCAAAATAACACATTTTTGTTTTCAGAATTTTTACAATATACCCATTATGACTTTGCAGCTGGCCCATTTAGAGGAAATCGCTCAGTTCTGCCTAAAGGACAAAACTCATCCCAATAAACTTCAACCTGCTTAAGAGGCATTAAAAGAAGACCAAAATGAATATTACCAACTGAACAACATCTATTCCAGGATAAATCAATATTCGAGTTTACATAGCTGGCCATAAATGGATGTTGCATTTTACTTTCTGGGTTGGTTCTGTAGGCTTCTTCTAACCCATTGCTTTCTACTACAGATAAGCCTAATAATACAATTAGGCTAGATCTTTACATTAAAAAAATCTGATTTCCAGTCGTTCCAACTAATTGAATACCCCTTGATCTTCAAGAATAGGACTTGGAAATATCGATTGTAGGAGTCAAAAGGCCCTTTAAAGAAGAATTGTAATTTATGATTAATTTGAAGGATATGCATTATTATTTAGATGAGCTTCCCATATTATGGCTACTTATTTACCTGAGCCATAATTGACCGCTTGAACCCGCCCACTCTACTGGGAAGCAAAAGTCAATATGGGGAGGTAGTTTAGGAAGCTAGGGGGGAAGTCCTAGCACTGGTTGGAGGCTACACAATTTCCAACCACCACCAACATTTCATATTATACTTTACACATAACACACTGATGTACTCCCGAGTGCCGAGTGGCGCAGTGGCTGTGCCACTAGAGATCCTAGTTCGAATCCAGGCTCTGTCGTAGCCGGCCGCGACCGGGAGACCCATGGGGCGGCGCACAATTGGCCCAGCGTCGTCCAGGGTAGGGGAGGGCATGGCGTTTGCAACGCCAGGGTTGTGGGTTCGATTCCCATGGGGGGCCAGTATGAAAAAATAAAAAAATAATGTATGCACTCACTAACTGTAAGTCGCTCTGGATAAGAGCGTCTGCTAAATGACTAAAATGTAAAAATATTGTTCTTGAAAGTTTAATTTAGTTATGAATGAAAACTACGAAACCCTGGATCTAAAGGAGAACAAAGGAACAAAAAGGTGCATTGAAACTTAATCAACTATTGTTATGGCAGTGGCTAATTTAGACTTGGAAGCCACTACATCAAGTTGGAAACTGTACGCTTTATGGATTTCGCTTGCTTGTGAATAATAACGGAAAATGCCGACGCAGGATTTATAAATGAACAAAGGGCTTGTGCACGTAAAAGCTATCGATAAATAGATTAATTGTGTGTTTACGGATACGATAACTACATGGAATAAATAAATGTTTGCAAATGCTGTTGATTGTTGCTACTTGTGGGGATTGTGAATATTATGAAATAGTTTAAATCTGTTTGTCGTTCTAGGCTGCTCAATGCCTGCTCATGGAATGGAAACACTAAATCAGTGTGCCTGATCAACACAACTGAAACAAATACTAGATTGCAAATACAAAGTTTGGATTTCAAATTATCGTGATTGAAGAAGTGTGACTTTGCGTAAATGATGGATGACAAAACCGAAGATGGAAAAAAATTGTGCCTATGGCTGCAGAGCAAAAACTGACTAAGTTTTGCCCTACAAGGAAACATTAAAATAAAAGCGCTCATGGTTAATAAAGAAAATGTTGACTAAGTTACTTTTCTTGCGGATGGGTTTCAAAGTATACTGAATGAATTCATACAGCATAAATCCGTTCAAGCTCTATTATTAGATGATGACAAGGGATTGGTTTGACCCCCAAATTATAAGGTTTGATGGATTTCTGGATAATGTGGATAAATAAGTTGGTGATGCAAAATCTCTGACCACTGAACATCCCCCTGAAATAGATGCCGATGACAGTGCATCAAAAAACTCTAGGAGACCCTCAAAAGCTTCATCCACTTCAAGTAGGATACAAGCTGAAGCTAAAAGAGCTGCTCTCTTGGCCAAGGCAGAAGCACTCAGAAGCAAAAATACTAGCTGAGCTAAAAGCCAAAAAGGAAAACCTGAAAATGCAAGCCCAAATAGCAGCATCTAATGCCAAAGTCAAAGTTCTGGAAGAACATGAAGATTCCTTCCAAATGGGAACAAAGACGCCAAAGGATGGTATGAATTTATTTCATGAGGAGTCCAGAAGAATGAGGCCTCTTAGAACCCTGGAAAAGTTCAATCCATCTTCTGTGGAGAACTCACCAGAGGAGGATGAAATGTACACTAGTCCTCACCTGAACCCAAAGCGCAGTCAAGACGTATGGCCTAGGAGTAGCCACCAGCATATATCATCATGGCCAGCAGGTGGCACCAATATGCCAAACAATTCTGAGCAGGTTATATTTGCTGATGTTCTACACAGACAAAGCAAAGCTTTATTTCTTAGAGCAATATACAAAATGGTCAAGCAAGAGAACTAGTCCGCAGCTGTCATCATATGGAACCTGGGGTGGGTTACAGGGAAGCTAGGAGGCCATTAGAACAGCATTTTGGAAATGGAATGAGAATATCAACTGCTTACATGGAGAAAG